CTATGTCTGTTTCCTCCATCTCGATTTGATGGAAACCACTCGCTAAGTCAAGGGTAGTAAAATACTGGCATCTGCCAAGTTTGTCTAGCAAGTCGTTGATATTGGGTAATGGATATTTATCGTCAATAGTCTGTTCATTTAAACTTCGGTAGTCAATCACAACTCTCCATTTTTGCTTCCCCGAAGCGTCTAGCTTCTTTGGAATGACCCAGATAGGTGAATTATAACCTGAGCTACTTGGACGTATTATATTGGAATCCAACATTTTTTGTATTTGGCTATTTACTTCGCCTCTGTGAACAAATGGATAGCGATACGATTTTGTGTAAATGGGCCTTTCGTTTTTGGTTTTTATTTGATGTTTGACTTTATTAGTAAATGTTAGTGGAGTTCCGTCCTGGTAAAAAATGTCTGAAAACTCTCTGCAAAGTTGAAGTATCTCTGATTTCTCTTCAGAATTTAGGTGATCAATCCTGATTTTCGACAAATCTACGTCAAATTTTTGTGACGTGTCTAAATAATTGAGATCAATTTCTGGCATTTCTGATAAATTAAATGATTCTACTGAAATCGGCTGAGAAAAATTCAATGTAACAGGCTTAGTAGTGTTATTCAAAATCGTTGTCAACGCAAAATTATTTTTTGCTATCGTAAGGCATTCAGGTATCTCGCAATTATGAAATTTTTGATGAGGAATAACGATTTCACCATTGGCGATCGATGTTTTGATTTTTATTACTTGTTCGGTTCGAGGTGCGACGGTTATCAAATTCAAGTCATTAGAAAGCTGGTGAAATTTTAGTCTAATTTTGGCGTAGGGCGTATGTAAAGTTCCTTTGCTTAAATTAATATCGGCTCTCAATAATTTTAGATTATCTAATCCAATCAATCCATCGAAAATATTGTGAAATTTAAATAGGTAAAACTTCAAATCTATACGATTAGGGAGATTGAAAATTTTCGATGCCGGGATGGATGCATATTTGTGAGCGGATTTTTGAAAAACAGTTGATACAACGAATGGATCATCTCTGATTAAATTTGGAAAAAATTTACGAGCAATACTGGGATCAATAAATGACTTAGTTGATCCAGAATCGATCAACATTTTAATTCCATATTCGGGAAAAAGAATGTAGGATAGTTCGCTAGCATTGCTGGCGTTAAGTGAAATTACTTCTGGTGCTAGGTCTTGTGTTCTATGAATGAGTCCTTCTGAAAATTTTGAGGTGGTTCTACGTGATCAGTTTCAGGAATATCTTGTGTATAATACTCGCAATACTGATCAGTGAAATATGTATCTGAATTTTGTGGTTCAGCTACAGTTTGATCGCAAACAAAAGATTCGTTACCAGGAACTTCATAGGTGTTATTGCTTTCTGTCTCTGTATTGAATAGCTCTTCAGCGATCCAATTTGGTTTTGGTTGTTGCTGGGCTGTCGAATTATGTTCATGTTTGAAAGAAATTCTAGTAGAAGTACTCATTGGAGTAGTTTGTGGTAAAGTACGGTTAGGGTTAGGTTTGAAAACGTTTCTGTTATTCTGTGTTTGTCTAAAAACTTGAGAATTCGTCAGAAATCTCTGAGGACGATAAACTGGTCTTGGTAAATTTACAGGTCCAGTCGGAAAAGTCGAATTGAACCTAGGTTGAAATGTTGAAGTGTTCGGCTGACTGAATGAATAATTAGTAGGCTGAAAGTATGAAGGTCTATTTTGACTTATCATTGGCCTGGAAGTTTGATTCTGGGGCACATTTTGTGATTTTCCAAAATTTTTGTTATAATTTTGGAAATAGCTGACATTGTCTTCAGATATAACGAATTGTAAAGCTTGGCTGAGAGATGTGGGTTTCATACATCTAATTGTTGTACCCAAGGGCTCTCGTAGTCCGCACAAAAATGTTTTCAGAGCTAATTCTTGATATAAATTTCTTTTTAACACTTTTGCTTCTTCAGAATGTTCATGTACGTTTACATGGCTGCATAGCAGATTCAAAATATGAAGACACTTATTATAAAATTTTTGAGGCGTTTCATTTGGCATTTGCCTCAACATAACCAAATCATGATTTAGACAAGTTTCATCTCTTTGATCAGAAAAATTCCTAGTCAGAATGTCTTTTAAATCTGCCCAACTTGTGATATTTTGGATATTCACAAGCACTTTAGCATTTCCTTTTAATTTCGAGATCAGTGAATTTAGCAAATAGATATTTTGGAAATTATGTGGGTTCCGTATATCATAAAAATTTGCAATTAATGTTTCACTCACTGATAGAAACCTATTTAAGTCATTAGGATTTCCGTCAAACTCTGGGACGCAATTTAAAAATTCTGGTCTGAATTGAGACATGCTTGGAATATTTTCAATATTTAATCTAGGTGGTCTTAAAATAGGTGAGTCTGTTGAAAGTGTCAACTTATCTATAGCCTCTGCAATATCTCCCAAAGACATTTAAAATGTATAGTTGCACTTACGCTAATACGAGGATGATCAAGTGCATCACGTTTCTTTCTTTGTCTTTACTTGGTTGCTTAACTATAAGGGGAAGATCTTGGTTGGGCGATCTGGTCCTTCTCCAAAATGTTCCGCTTGCAGATTTGGGCGATGTGTGGTCCAAATCCCTGACTTCGTAGGTGGTAGCTGCACACGGTGTCTTCGATAGACCGGTTCCGCTCGAACTCCCACTCACCAAAGTCTTTAGTCCGTAGGCCGTTTTTCCGGTAAATTCGTCGATACGAAAACTGCTTTCGCGGTCTCGATTGATTCGCGAAACAGACTGACTAACTCTGAATACAATAAAATAAGACTGGATGAGGCAAAGCGCTGATCCAGGGAAACTCGATCCTCTTCTTTAAGGGTAGGGGTAAATCTTCTGTACTATAACGTGCTATAAATCATATGTCACAGTGTTTGTGCACTGATTGCAACGGTTAGATGATACCAAAAATATTTTCATAAATAGGAAATCTTTCCCATTCCGGATCGAACAATCTACCAAAGATGCTTATAATCATGATACCTAGTAAATTTTCACGAAAAAAATGCAAAACCAGCAAATGTAAAAGATTCATTTCGCACCCTCCACCACGGGATGTGATTGTCGTTAGACTTGGCAACCCTCGAGTGACAGATAGATATCCCCACCAGTCAACGACCGCCAGTCAAAAACACAAACAATAAACATTACTAGTTTTGATGATGTTTGGACTTAAAAGACATTATTTGTGAAACATATTATCTGTGTTTTAGGATGGAGAGGACATAATGTTTTTATTGCTTTGAAGAAATTCATTAACCCATAAATTAATAAATGATTACTATTATGACGTAAAGGAAGATGAGGAATTGGATGGAATGTATTTTATATTCTATTTTCTTGCAAAATACAGACAAATCCACACTATTCAACGGGTATGTAATGATAACTTTCAGTATATTGAAGTTGGTAAATTCGAGAGTGCCATGCATTAACAAACGTCCAAATCTGCTGCCAAATTTAACGGCTAGAAAATCGAGCTATTATTTGCCGCATTCTCATTCGCTGAGGGGGATAACGGATTGTTAAATGTAAACCTATAACATATATCAAAATACATGAAAGTTGTCCTGTTTTTTCTGTACAAAAGCATCATGTTGGAATCAAAAAGTGGTCTTGTTTATAATACAGTCGAATTTTCACGATTTTATTTAATATTTCAATAGAAATCACTGATATTCTGAGAGCTTTGACAGCTTCCGTCAAATTGCATTTCGATAAGGTATTTTCCAATTGGTCCATAATATTAATGTTGGTGAAATCGGCCCTTAGAATTTCAATTTGACTTATCCTTAATCATCAACTTTATTTTTTGTTGACGCCATATTGGATTTTTGCACAGGTTAATAAAGTTTTTCATTCCGATTCCAAAAAATGTATATCCTATATTGACATTGTCAAACCTATGTTATTTCAAAAAACTATTATTTTTATAGTTGGTTTTGAAAATGCTTATCCGGCTGAAGCACACGTGCTTCAGTTTTTGAGACGCGTGTTTAAAAAACATTCAGATAATTTGCTGATTTGTCGATTATAACAAGAGTTATTTTAGCAGGATGCATGCGCTCTCCAGGACAGCTCAGCCATAGATTCATCGGTTTAGATAAGGCAGATATGAAATTTGTTTAGGAAGCTGCTACATCGTCGAACCGTTTATTCCAAAAATTTTCAATCAGCTACACAAAGTAGAACTGTTTTCAATGTTTTCAATACGGCTTTTGAATAATATAAAATTTTTTTAGCATTAGGTTGTTGTTTAATGTATGAGTTCACTATAGGAAGATTACTACGCCGTCTCCACGGCCAAATTGGTCGAATTACGAATGAGGTCACAAACTTCTACCGCATCCACCGTATTCTCCAGATTGGGCCCCGTACGACTTCTTTTTGTTTCCAAACTCAAAAAAGTCACTACCCGGGTAGAAATTTGAGTCAAATGAGGTGCTTGTCGCCACCACGGAAGCCTTCTCTGCAGAACTCCAGAAAACGTATTTTTCTGACAGGTTAAAGAAGTTGGAGTATCGCTGGGTCAAGTGTATCGTGCTAAAATGAGACTATGTTGAAAAATAAATCGCCACTTTTCCAAAATTTTCATTTTTCTCTCGTAGACTACTTATTGGACCGCACTCGTACATTCTTAGAATCAGAATTGAAAACTCTATTCACTTGTGGAAAAATCCAATATGGCGTTCGTAAGAAAAAATGTAGCGAATAAGAATCATAGTGTAATTCTAATTATGCAATCTTGGACAGGAAAAAAGTGGTGGTGTTAACGTGCAATTTATTTTGAAATCCCACCTCAAATAAAGTCAGAAAAAATAAAAACGATTTTGCAAAAATTCTGTTTTTTTGCCTATCACCGGAAATACTCGGAATTGCGAAACTTTATAAATTCGTAACATTGAGTCGAACTTGAAATACATGGTATATCTAGAGGCTGTAATAAATTCGTAAAAATTACCTGTGGTGTTAGGTGTGTAGACGTGCTCAGAATAGTGCCCATACGGCGACTGCGGCGTCTCTCGTGGACTGCATGACTTATCCGGGCTACTTTTGTTCGAGACAGTGTCCTGATAGAAACCCACGCGTATTTGACCGTTAATGGTAGGATACGCCTTGGGAGAAATATCTGGACGTGGAGAAGCCATAATCGGCGAAGCACCCGATGGAGACCTGTGCAGTGGCGACGGATATGGAGCTGGATATGCACCTAAAAAGATACTCAACTATTTGCACACATCCAACTTGCATCAAAGTTTAAAATCTAGATTACGAGAATCTTTCAGAAAATACTACTCCAGGCTTCTAAGATCTCTCTTTAGTAACCTATCATGGTAAATATCTAAATGGCTTATTTGTAGAAGCTCAATATGCTCATATACGTATATGATTAACATCTATCTCTCATTGTATTCTTGCTGTTTGCATTCTGTCAATAGTTCCTTTCTTGTATACGTATTAGTAACGACATTGTTTTGAAAGTGCTGCTCATAATTGAATATTATTCTTATATCTTACCTTGTTCTTATATCTTCATATTATAAGCTTGAATTTATATAAGATATTTAAGAGCGTTATGTAGGGTTAAGTGGAAGACCAGCTATTTCGCTAGGAGTGAAAGCTAACCTTGCCCTTTTCCGGGTAGCAATTGATATGTTTTGTACCTTGCCATCAATGAATAAAGATGATTATTATTATTATTTAAGCAGCAGATCGAATTGATCTCGGTTATTACTGCTATTTACCTCCTAAGAAAGATGAAAATGAAAGAAACATTCTGTTGCGAGTATGGCTAAAATTCAGCAAGAAGTAACTGCTTTCGACTTTCAAGACAAAAATTACTGACTGTAGAGGGTCTTAGGCAGTACTATACAATCGGAAAAATTCGATAATCCGACTTCGCCTTACAAAAAAAAGTTTTTCGGATTACCGCGGGTCCACTGTATAATAATTGTTACCTCTTTCGTCCATTCCAACACGAGGCGAATCCATATCCTGACTGAAAGATGACCTTTCCGACATGCTACTGCCCGTGCTAATCTTCCTCTGTCTCGGTACCGGCTGTCCATGTAAAGGCATGTCTGTGTTTGGCGATGCTAAGGGAAGCGTCACCTTACGTCCTTCCATACTCTTAGTGCTTATATCTTCGCATTTTTCGTTTTCCTTACCATCCGGCTTCAGGTCCGTCTTTTTGATTGGAGCTGCCATTTTAGGGGCGCCGAAAGCTCTGAACCAGGCACTCAGGTTGGGAGTGGCTCCACCTATCGGGGAGCTGTCTTTCACCACTTGCGGCTCCTTCTCGTTTGGCTCCGATTTCGCTTCGGTGGCTTCTATGACGACACTTTCAGTCTGCTGCTTCTATTGGGAAAAATATGACGTTACTACTTCTTGAGCTGAATAAACTCTCAGATAACCCAATACTGAATGACTCAATAACTCAATATATAATTGATTAGTATTTTGATGATTCGAGAATTAAAGCAACAATATCGATCGTAATTATTACTTTTATTTTGCCTCTATATGATTTTCTAAAAATACAATGGAATGCTGCTCAGAACGGAAGAATCCAATATAATGCAAACCCTATTTCACGAGTATCCATCACGCTTTGATGTCTACCGAAGTGAACAGGATCAGCAAGTGACATCTTTGAATTAGTCATAATGGTGGCACTATTACACCCGCTTCATTCAAGTTTTACTAAATTTACACTGATGTGCTAAAACTTGCCTATAGCAATTTTTGTCTATGCAAATGAACAAAAAACCAATACAAAATACTGCTGTCTACCTGGCGTTGAACGGATCTGTCAGAATTATGTGTCATTTAATGGATACTAGTAACAAAGACAATAAGCCGTAAAGATACAGCAATCATTACCGAGCTTCATTTGTTTGTATTATTAGTAGCACCTTTGAGCAGAAATTGTAAAAGAGCGACATTGCATGGTGACGAGTGAAAGTTGTTGACCCCCTAAATTTTTTGACCGTAGAGATTAAAAAGTTGATAAACGTCGATGGACGTAGTTTAGGGGTGTTTCGAAAATATCCGTTTATGCACTATAAAATTACGTTTCGAAAATATCCGTTTATGCACTATAAAATGACGGTTATTAATTTAAAAAAAAACGGTAAAATACGCGGCAAATTTAAAATATCTAAGCGCAACCCTAATGACGTCACGATACCGAAGTGAGCAGGCAATCCTTTATCGCTGTCATTGATTATCAACCTATCAGTTTAATCCAGTTCCAAAGAGTACTGAGCTGCTTTCCAGTGACCGTGTTGAGATACTGTTCCACTGCACCTTGTATTCTCAAGCATTGTTTCTGGAGCAGTTCGGGAACGTATCACTCTCAAACCACTGAATCCGCCAGAGCTATCTAATTGCAATGGGTTACGCCCCGTTTTCAGCATAGATGTCAACGCCGTTTGACAGCGCACATGCTGCGGCCAGCAGAATAATTTCACCGCCAAGAAACGTCGGAAAAATATAAGAAAGACATACCCTATTTTACGAGTACCCATCATGGTAGAATGTCAGCTGATTGTCTAGTAATATCTCAAAATTCCTCATATGGGCACAGGACACATAATCCTGACGGATCGGTTAACGTCAGGTACTCACAGCCGTATTTTGTTTTGGTTTTTTGTACGCTACAGATTCATTTTGTACTTGCTAACAGCTCTTTTATTTAGAAAAGTTCATTTGCATACAAAAAATTGCTATAGGCAAGTTTTAGCACGAGTGTAAACAAACAAGTTTTGTTAGATTTACACCAGATTCATTATTGCCAACGTCGCAGACTCACAAAAATGTCACTTGCTGATCAGCTGTTCACCTCAGTAGACGCCAGAGCGTGATGGATAATCTTAGAACTTGACAGCAAATAACCAAACAGAAAAAGTGACAAACCATGAGTTTCATGAATGAAATATGTTTACGATATTTTACGAGGCCTGTAAATTAAATGATGAGACTGACAACGTAGCGTTCGATCTCGCAACACTGTAGGCAGCGGGCTTGGAGGGGAGACAGTGGAACAGTTTTACCTATTGTGATTGAATGACATCGATTTCGAGCAACGGTGTGCTATAAGGTTTTGCTTCGGACTTGGGCACAGTGCAACAGAAACTCTTGCTAAACTTCAGCAAGCCTATATAGAGTGTTATGTCAGGAGCCCAGGTTATTCGTTGGTTTAAGGCATTTTCAGAAGGGATCGAGTCGTATGAAGATGAACCACGAAGCGGAATTCCTTCGTCTTCAAGAACCTATGAAAATATCGACAGAATCCGGTATATTGTGCGTTCAGATTATCGGTTGACAGTCGGAATCATCGGGGAAGAGTTAAATTTGACTCATATAATGCTTCTTGCAACACAGCAATGACAATAAAAGAGTTTCTGCCCTGTAAAAACATTCCTGTGGCTCCTCAGCCTCCTTAATCGCCTGACTTGAGGCCTTGTGACTTTTTTCTCTTCCCAAAGTTAAAAAATCACCTCAAGGAAACTCATTTCGAGAGAGTCGAAAACGTTCAAATGGCTGTAACTGACTAGCTAAAGGCTATTCCAATATCGGGGTTCCAGCACTGCTATGACGAGTCGTGAGTGACTTCAGAAGAAAATTATTTTGAGGGTGTCAATATAAAATTGTAATTATATTTGAATAAAAAAATTAAAAAAATCAGTCTCATCACTCAATTTACAGACCACTTACTCAAGTAAATAATCAACAGGAAATACGTGCACATTCCTTGTTGATGTGGGAAGTAAACATGTCAGTTGATAAGTTATGTAGCTTCAAGGTCTAATGTCACCAGATATTTATGTAAAATAAACGCCACAATAAACTTGTTAAATGTTAAATGCATTTTAATACTTATACTTACTTCGTTCACTTCGGGATCAGATATTTTTACTTCTGACGTCGGATCTGATTTTGGAGTGGTAGGTCGTTCTTGATCCGCATCTTCTTTTTTCTGATCGTCAACAAACTTGTGTTTGCCAAAACTATCCAAAACCGACCCTAAACTGAGTTTAGGAGCATTACTATCGGTTTTAACAATCAACGAATTTTTCGTATCCTTTATTTTTGACAGTGGTCCCAAGGGAAACATTTCATCAGTTTTATTGGTACTTTGAACATTTGATATCAGATTTCCTTTACTTTTGCCCGGTTGCAGCCTATCAATGGTTCTCTGCACCTCCCTCCGTTTGAACAACTTTGACGGATCTCTGAAAGAGCGTTTTTTATTATCCTTCGTTCCTTCTTTTTTTACGGTCGGTGCTCCAGTTGGCGGCTTCTCAACTTTTTTCGTCTGACTCGTCTCAACTTTCGCGCCGATCAAGGTTTCAAAGTCATCCAAGCCAGTATAGGAGGGAGAATTACTGGCAGAATTGAATTCCGAGAACTTCGGAGTATCGTCCAGCCATTTGTTGATGTCTTTCAGAGTCTGCTCGGTGGCCATACTTAAGGCATCTAGGTTTGGAAGACTTTTATTCAATGGTACTGGAGCGACAGGAGCCGCGATTTTTTGAACACCACCACCAGCACTTGGTACAGCGCTTACCCCACTGTTTTTCTTCGATTTTTTCCCTTCTGAAAGAACACTATCCATTGTACTGTTGGTCTCCAAATCTACCTCTTCATCTTTTTTAGGTTTTAGAGATTTGTCTTTCTTCTTCTGCTTGTTTTTTTCTTCTTTTTCAACCTTCTTCGGTTTGTCTTTATTTTCCTTGGGAAGATCCAACTCAAAATTAAATTCGTCTTTCAATTTCATTTCGCTTTTAGCCTTCAATTTTTCAATCGTTTCCCTTAATTTATTATGCTTGTCTTTTGGTTTCGGTGACAACGAATGAGGCGTCAGCAACAAATCGTTATCACCTTTTTGTTTGCTATTTGGCGAGGCTAAAACTTCGCTGCTATCTGTGACGTGTTTATGACCACCGGACTTCTTTAGCTTTTCTGAAAAATTCATAAAATAAATACAATGAAATCACTGTTAATTGTTACAGTAATTTTAGGGTCAAATTTGAAGAAGAGCTGTTTTAAATACTTTGTAATTATCATTTTCAAATACCCGCGTGCTTACTACGTAAAAAATGGCGTCAAGTAGGTTAGCTCTGCACTTCTTACGTAACGCTGTCACCAGTTCATCAAGTCTTACAAACAAGTTAAACAGGCCCATTCAATTAGTCCATAGACATCTTTTCCCTGCCCTAAACCTAGTGACAGCATCGCGCCTACTCCCATACCTTACTGCTCGATAAAGCCACTCATCAAGCTCGGCAGCGTGGCAGTGACATAATGACACTCATGGAAAAAATTGTGACAAGCCGGTCAACCCAAAGAGATCTATGATGTGTGAAATACCTTTTATGTCTAATAAGTGCATATAATTACCAGGGTTGGAAGCGTATAAATATACGTTGAGATATACCCTCCCCCAGCCTTCACACCAGAATTTTCTTCCCCTTCAAAAACTTTTCTGCTAACGAGCCTCTAAAATCCTAACAATCGAGGTTTGGCGATTTTTATTTTTTCGTTTTTTGCTCTTAGCTCCGCCGCCACTGAGCAAATTTTCAAAAACTACAAAGATTTTTCGTCCTTGGCATAACAATAATGTTGACGGAAAATTTCATCAAAATCCAAACAGGACTTTGCAAGTTATAGTTAGCGAACAGACTGGCAGACAGACCGATGGAAATGAGTGACATGGTTTTTCGTGATGTTATATAACAGGCCTGTCCAACATACGGCTCGCGAACTCCTTTCTTGCGGCCCGCTTCACGGGTCATGTATACATCACAAGTATAAATTACTCTCAAATACCGAATATGCATATACCTATTAAAACTCAGTAATAATGTTGTATAGAAAGATTTTATAATGCGGCCCTCCAAACTGCATTTTTTTTTGAAGTGGCCCTTGGGCCACATTAAGTTGGATAACCCTGTTATATAACATCCAAAAAACAATATTTCATTTTCGAAATTTTTCGGGATTACAATATTTCCTCGACAGTAGGTATCGGAAGCAATCCAATAGTGTCAATTGCAAAACTTTCAATATTTGACTAAACAAGTGCAATCCCCACTTTGTTAGCATGCTTTCTGGGTTGCAGATATATCTGATATAGCCAGGTCATATGCTGCAATATGTCCTTGATGGATGTGTTATAGTTCCCATAGTTATACCAAAATATTGCAACAAAAATATTGACCGTTTAGTAGAAACTCCATAAGGAGAAAAACGCTAGTTTTGAAACAGTTCAGTAGTCAATGAAGGAAAAACTAGAATCTTGCGCTCTAGCAATCTTATATTAATAATAAAATAATATAAATTAAATATTCTTTTCCCTTTTACCCCTTTATCATCAAAACGAAGCAGCTTTACAAAAATCATCGAAAAACAAAATGTTCAGGGGAACACCCTGTTTTGTTCTATGTGAATTTTCTACATTTTCATGTATGAGTAAACTTAGTTCAAAGCTATGCTCTGGTAAGGGTACCAACAAATGACATACAAAGTTCTTACCTTTTGGCGGCGATTCTTCGGTGTCACTCATTTCTTGAGAATGTCGTTTTTTCGAAGTTCTATGAGGAGTAAAATCGAACCTGCTCTCAGGACTGGAAGGTGGCCAAGATGCAGGAGGACTACTGACGTTACTTCTCGTCGGACTTTGACTAGAACTCCTACACCTGCTCGGACTTTTATGTGCCACTTCCTTTTTCTTCTCTTTATTCGATTTGTTCGACTTACTTTTACGGCCTTTAGATTTCTTGCCTTCTTTCTGCTTCTCTTTTTCTTTTTTACTTTCATGTTTGGCTTTCTTTTCCTTTTCTTTTATTTCGTATTTTTCTTTTTTCGACTCTTTCTTCGGTGAAACCTTTTGTGGTTAAAAATAATGATTAAACAAAAATTGGAATAAATTAAAGCATTCTCATACATATTTGACAATTGTCAGCAACCGTCAAAATTTGGGATCATTCCCCAGGGAAGAGATACCAGTGATTCCACTGCCTCGTTTTCAAGAATAGGGGTCACCAACAATTTACTTCCAAATACTGAACCTCATCATATCCACTAATGTAAAAAGGGTTACTCACGATAAACAATCTCATAACGTATATGTCTTATGGTGCAGAACGTCCCGCTGGTTCAGATTTGCTTCAACGGCCGAGGAGAACGGACTTGTACATACATATAAAAAGTGTACCCCGCGGACGACTACGTAGCGTCAGCTGCGCGACACGATTACACGTGGCAGCGTTTCGCAACGTGTGCCGAGCTCTCAAGGTCATCGAAATTTGCTAAATAAATTCATCGTAATTTTCAGGGAGTTGCGCTGTTGTATAATACGAGGGATGTCTTTTAAGTTTTGCATATGGAAATAAAACAACACGGTAGGTAGTTTTAAATGGCTTTATTGTTTTTCGAAGTATTCTCTACGAAGATTAATACACATCTGCATGCGCTCGAACCAATTTTCGAAGCACTTATTCCACTCGTTTGCTGGCAGATCCAAAACGGCATTTATGAATGCGTTAACTGCTTCTTCTGGTGACTGGACCCTTTGACCACGCAGTCTGTTTTTAATTTTCGAGAAAGTAAAGAAATCGTTAGGACTTAGATCGGGACTATATGGAGGGTGGCTCAATAATTCCACGTTTTCTTCCGTTAAATACTGCCTTGTTTTTTGGGCTGTGTGCGAGCTTGCATTGTCTTGGTGGAGGATGATTCTTCTTTCGGGGTTTGATTTTTCGAAGCTCGGTGATGACTTTTGGCAAACAAATGGTGGTATACCAATCGGCAGTAACAGTTCTTTGCTCATTAAGAGGAATTGTTGCAATATGACCCGCTTTTGACACAAACGTCGCGACCATCTTTTTCGAAACACTTCGAGAACGGATGACTTTTGTTGGCTTTTCTTCACCTTGGAACACCCAAACAGCCGACTGTCGTTTATTTTCTTGTTCATAACAGTAAATTCACGATTAATTACCACTAACAATGTTGTACACATTTTTTGAGTTTTCGGAATTGAAACGGTCAAGCGTTTTTGGACACCAATTAACCCTGGCTGCTTTCTGCTCTTCAGTCAACAGATGGGGTATCCAACGAGAAACTAATTTTCTCACTCCTAATTCTTCAAGGATGCCTCAATCTCGCGATATGTCACATGTCTATCTTCAATGATGAGTTTGCGCACAGCATCGACGTTTTCCTGGGTGACTGCCGTTTTTGGTGCACCCACCGTGGGATCGTTGCTAAGACTCACCCGTCCACGTTTGAATTCTCCATACCAACGGGAAATTGTCGACTGATGTGGCGCTTCGTTGCCGAAAACAGGCAGTAACTCAGCAAGGCACCCTTGTTGCGATAATTTTGTCTCTGAAAGTTGTAATAAATTATGGCGCGAAAATGTTCTCGGTTGAGTTACATTCTTCTTATGACTTGGTGACGCTTAAAAATTCACTGTAGTGAGAACACTGCACGTATTGTTGTGAAACTTTGAATTTAGGTTTACTAAAGAGTGTGGTTAAGATTCAGTACTGACGTTCGATCCGCGCGGTCTAGCATGTTTCTGTATGCAAAACTTAAAAGACATCCCTCGTATTAGATATGGATCGACGCATACCAATATCGCTAGAGTCATTTGGTTTTTTTTTGTGAAACAGTTTTTTCTATTGTGTTCTAAAAATGAGTGATATCAATTTCAAGCAACGGCGTGCTATCAGGTTTTGCCTCAGTCTTGGGCACACTGCAACGGAAACTCTTGCTGAACAGGCTTACGGAGCTACTGTTTGTCCGGTGATTTAAGGCATTTCCAGAAGAAAGAGAGTCGGCTGAAGATGAACCACGAAGCGGAAGGTCTTCAACTTCAAGAACCGATGAAAAGATCGACATAATCCGGGATATTGTGCGTTAAAATCGTCGGTTGAGTCAGAATGATCGGGAAAGAGTTAAGCTTGACTCACAGAACCGTTCAGCACATCAAAAACAACTGGGTGTGGCATCACGATAATGCTCCTTGTCACACAGCATTGACAACAAGTTTTTGGTCAGTAAACACATTCGAGTGGCTCCTCAGCCTCCTTATTTACCCGACTTACGTCCTTATGACTCTTCCCTAAGTTGAAAAATCACAACAAGCGAACTCATTTTCAGACAGTCGAAAACATTCAAACGGCTGTAACCGACCAGCTGAATGTTATTCCAGTATCGGAGTTCCAACACTGCTATGAGGAGTGGAAGAACCGTCTCCAGTGCTGTATGGCTTCAGAAATAAGTCATTTTGCGGGTGATAATATAAAATTGAAATTATATTTAAATAAAAAAATCACTTAAGTTACAGACCTTGTACGAATGGGCCGACCGGTAGGCGAAAAGTTAATTAAGAAACACAATCTATAAATATATAATCTCATGAACTGCATCCTTTGTTTTTTACATAGGATAAAAAAAGCGTTAAGAACTTTGTCAGAGTGGAAATTGGATTGGAAATTTTGACGAAATATTTCCTCACGATGCCATTTTTCGAGAATTTGACACAACACAAATCAAGATGCAACTGACTGCGACTGTGTGAAGCTGCTTGCAAGAAATAGAAAACCCCAGGTCCATCAAATGCAATTTTAGGAAACAGGGTTTCATAAAGTTCTTTCCTACTACCCGTTTCACGTTTGAAGTGGTAATTTCGATTTTGAGAATGTTCCTTTAGGCTTTAGGGGTTTGCATATCTGTTACAGAAAAAATGAAGGCAGAGGTTTTGAAATACGTTTTCAAAACGATAGCATGATAGGGGTTTTTCTAGTATGCATCCTTTTCTGACATATCAACGTGCTACAGCCATCGTGTTTACACCCGATTTGCTGCTGTTGTACAGAAAAAGACGAATCGCATATAACACTGATATTATTATCCACATGGTAAAAAATTCTGTATCGATCGATCTCTAGTATTAGATAACTACGATTGAACATTCATAGGCTTTCTGTGAAAATATACTAAATGGCATAGAAAATGCAACACCGACTAGGAGTGCTGAAATTTTGAGCATGCTTTTAAAGTTTTAGGTCTACTGATCAATAGAAAGTGTTCAAAATTTTAACTCGAAAATTCGCGAAATAGTTGAGAGATCCCACCTTAATATTAATGATGTGTTGAAGCTCCTCTGTTCGCTACACATTCGTTAAGACGTCGCAACATTGACTGGATTAGGTGGTTGATGTCTTCTTCGTGTATTGTATCCCAGGCCATCTGAATAAGGTTTCGTAGAGCCTCCAATGTTTGTGGAGGGTGCGGTGAATTGTGCAGCCTTCTTCCCAACATGTCCCATACATGTTCGATAGGGAAGAAAGGTCTGGATATCAAGGGGCCACTGAAGCAGATTTACTCTGGACGCTTCTAAAAAGTCTAAACTAACGCGTGCGACATGAGGTGGTGCATTGTCCTGCTGAAAAAGTGGATCTTGCGATGTTTCCAATAAAGGAAGCAGATGTGGTTGTAAAACGTCGTGGATATAGGGCTGGGCAGCCCTGCTAACTCGAATGTACACTAATCGTGACGCAATGGCACCGCATACCGTAACACCCACGGTGCAATGGAATATTGTCTTTCACCACGTCTCCTCTTTACTCTTGCACGGCCATCATGTGTGCCCAAACAGAATTTGGACTCATCGCTGAACACGACTGAGTTCCATCCCATATTCCATTCAAATCTCTCCCTATTCCATACCAATTGTCGCCGACGATGTAGTGGGGTCAGAGGTAGTACAAGATGGGGACGGTATGAAAACAGTCCAAAAGATCTCATTCGACGATAAACTGTCCTCACTATTATTGTCCTTAGGACAGCATCAAACCACTGGTTCGCAACTGACCTTGTTGTGGAAAACTATCTCTAAGTGCTAGTTGTTGTTGTTGTTTCAGATTTATTTAGCATTAATGCTACAATGTCCATAATATCCATATTACACAGTATATCACAAAATATATTAAGTCTTCAAGACTACATATTTTTATACAAAATTTCACTACTATGAATTCTGGTTCTCCATGAGATATTTTTGCGCGATTCGAATCATGTAGAACTAATACACGTATTAGAGTGAGAATTGAACATATCCGCTTAGTAGTTTTACCAGTAGATGGCGAAAATATATATCCATTTTTGTCATTGAGAATGAAAACTCGGTATATCCGGTTTTTACCGTTTTCATTCTAAGTGAAGTCTCTAGAGTGTTTGTTACTGCGTTGTTGTTTTTCACTGGTTGACTATTATTTGCTAGCATTTTCATGATGTCTAGTGACAGTGATACCGAGGTAATGAGGGATGATTTAGACCCAGATTATAGTGATAGTGCTAATAGTAATAATGAAGTTGAGGAGAATAAAACAAGAAAAAGAAAAAAAAAATAAACATCTCTGGAAAAGTGTTCAAAGGAAATCTAACCTCAATAAAGGACTAGCGTACACATCTAAATCGGGAAAAAATATGCCTGCAAGGCGGGGTTATGAATGTGACTGCAAAAATAGATGTACAAGTAAAATCTCAGTCGAAGAAAAAGCAAACATTCTTGATAAATTTAACAACTTGGCTGATAAAAATGTGCAAGATTCCTATCTTTTTGGATTAATAACAGTGAGGCCTGTTGCAAGGTACGTGAATATAAGTAACAAAAGAAACAAATAGGTAATTTTTTAATTTTTTTCATTTATTTAGAAGGCGACCAGATATTATGAAAAAGCGACTTTATGGAAAGGGCCATCCGATTGAAGATATTTTAACTGATGCTGAGTTAATTAAAACATCAAAACGAAACTCATCCTTTCATTATAAGGTTAGTTGTTATGCAAATACTTATTTACTGATAGTAGGTATTTAACAATATTTTGTATTGTAGATCATATTGGCAGCTGGACGAGAACTAATGGTTTGCAAAAAAGCTTTAGCGGGGCTTTATGGTATAAAGTTTGGTAGGATTGATCGAATTGGGCAAGCTAAAAAAAGTAACTCGGCTCCTCCGACCGACAAAAGGGGTTTATCTGAACGATCCAGGTTACTTAAAAAACCAGAAGCTCTAATCCGACAAATTGAATCACATATAAATTCATTTCCTATTCGCATCTCGCACTACACCAGAAATAGCAGTCAAAGAAAGTTTCTTTCGCCCGACTTAAGTGTGATGAAAATGCATCAGCTGTACGTGGAAAAGTACGAACCAGAGAAATATCAACAGTGGAAGGCTGATAACAAAACAAAATTTAAAATCAACTATGATTTTCATCTACACATATTTAACACCAAATTTAATCTTTCATTTGGAAAACCTAAAACGGACGTCTGCAATGCATGTGACAGATTCAAGAATCAAATAGATGCGGCGGAAAATCCAGAAGAAAAATCTCGGTTGAATCAAGAACACTCTCTACATCAAGCCAAAGCGCAGAAATTTTAACGACGACCTTAAGCGGTTCAGTGAACAAGCTAAAACGGACGAAAAAATGGATGTTATTAGCTTTGACCATCAACAAAATTTGCCAGTACCTGTACTTCCAATAGGTGATATTTTTTATAAAAGGCAGCTTTGGGTTTATAACCAGTGTTTTTACTCGGCAAAAACGGGCCATTCTTATATGTACATGTACAATGAAGTCGAAGGAAAAAAAGGTGCAAATGAGACAGTATCTTTTTTGAAACATTATGTAGACAATGCTGTTGATCCTTCGGTTGAGACCTACTTATTCACTGATAACTGTGTTGGGCAAAATAAAAACATGGTTGTTGTTCAGATGTTAGCTTCGTCGGTCGCCATTGGAAGATTTAAAATGATCTACCATCGATTTCCTGAAAGAGGTCATTCGTTTCTACCATGCGATCGCAAATTTGCTCTCATTGGAAAGGAAAAACGCAAAGTCACATACCTTTACTTGCCGGAAGAATGGTATTCAAAAGTTGCAAGAACCTCTAAAACTTTTACTGTTGTCAATGTACTGCCAAGGATGATAGGGGACTTTCGTTCATATTTCCAATCTTTTTTTAAAAAAAGCATACAAAACTTTACCGTCTCAAAATACAAAAGTTTTAAATATGAGTATAAAAAAATCACCGTTTCTGTATGCCACAATATTGAAAGTCTAAACCAAACTTTCATTGCATTTAAATCTAACGCAGATTTACTTGCTTTAAAGGAATGGAATCTGGCTCAACTCTACACTACAACCCTTCAGGTTAACCCAAAAAAACTTCAAAACTTAAAGGAACTTCAAGATTTCATTCTTGCAATATATCATGGATTTTATAACTCTTTGGAAACATCAGAGCAATCGCAGGAGGAAAGTGAAACCGACTGATCCGAGAGTAGTGATGAATAAAAAAAGTTATTGTTAATCTAATTTGATATTTTGTAAATACAGAATGACAACTAGGTATATCCGTCTTTTATTTATTATTTTTTTCTAATATAAGTAATATTAAACAAAAATATGAGCTCAAAAAACGTTTCAAAACACTTTCAATAAGCATTTAAATAATAATTTGCAGGTAAAAGTACAACTAGTTTTATTAAACATGTTATTTTCATCTCCTGTAAAATTACCTTTTTGGTTTTTACCGAATTATCATTCTGAGGCACTCTAGTTCTGTCAGCATAAAATTTATTCTAGTATATGTATTTTTATTTAAGATGATTCTCATAGCTTTATGTTGTAATATTAGTAATTTTGAAAATACAGTTTCATTTGCAGTGAACAAAATAGTCGAACAATATAACAAATGAGGAAGAATGATAGTGCTGTACACAATTTTTTTAGAATAAACGCTTAGGCTATGCGAAATTCTATAAATGTAATCTATTTTCCATGAGAGTTCAGTACTTGTTTACATTTTTTTACACAAAAATCTTGATTATCAAAATTTATATTGGTCTCCCAAGTGCACAGTGGAGCAATTTAGATAATACCGTTTTTCACAAACACTCAAAAAACTCAAAAAATCGTCAAACTAACGATCCTGTCGCTCTGTAGTCTGTCTTTGACGTACAATACCTCTAACTCGTCAATTTCGGTCTCCTTGGAACCACGCTTGACAACATCTCATTACAATAGCTTCGTTTCAATTCACCCGATTAGCGATTTCTCTAAAAGAGAATCCGGCTTCACGTAACCCGATTATCCGACTCCTCTCAAACGCGGAAAGTTGAGTGAAACTCTGCGAACTCTAGGCATGATAATGCAATGAAACAAATGGAACCAAAACAGAAAAATCACTGAATATTAAGTAAACATATTCATATTGTTTGGATCCTGATATGACAAAAAAGCCTTTACAAAAAAAGTACTACTCTGAATGTCAACATTTTATCAGCGTATACTTCCATGATAGCAAATATGTTTACCAGTTTTTATCAAAATTCAATAAATAATTCTGGGTGTTGCATTTCATATGTCACTTAGTATACAGAAATAACTTTTATGCCATTTTAAAAAACTAGTTACCTTATTCTTCTTCGTCTTATTGTTTTTGTTCTTCTGTTTTTTGGACGCCTTCTCCGATTTCTTCGATTTGACACTGATGTTATCAAGAGACTCTACCGAGCCAGTCTTAGAACGAGCCAAAGAGTCCCTGGACGAAGATCTGTCCCTCTTCTTGTCTGTTTGCGCCGCTAACATTGGCTTCCGTTTTCGTGTGGATTCTTCGGATTTGGTCGTCGAACCCCTTTCGATTTCCACGTTCGAAAAATCGATTGCAATTTCATCGTCCGAAGACGTGATTTGATCTAAGTATTTTTCTGTTGCCCTTTCGAATACTTTCAGTAAGTTATCAACCATTATTGTATATTCTGAAATGCACTAACATATATCTAACTGATAAAAAAACAGAATTGTAGATTTATTTTGGCCTTCCCTCACATGATTCCGTAGAAATCGTGAGTCGCACATATGTTTGGATATGTTTTTTACGCCGATGCAGCCTCGGCTGCTATGAGGAGCTTGAGAAACTTTAATAATCCGATTTTATGAACTGCTCAAGGTTAGTAGAATTGGAAAAAGCCTTTTAGTGTAGATTGTCCCGTTGGCGTAGCGGTGGAAGAGAGCTAGATCGCCGAGGGCCCGCCGGTGCGAAAAGTCTCGAGACTATCCGTCATCGATCGGATCAATTGGACAACCCTCCTCTGAAGCATCGAGCATGAATAATGTAGGCGGGGTGCCAGCACCCAAAACATGTGAGCAGTACTCGAGGATAGGTCTTATCTGTGCCTTAAAAAGAGTGAGAAGGTCATGTGGAGAAAAGACTGACTTTGAGTTGGTCATTCTGCCTGAATGATTTATGTATTTGTATGACACCGCTAACGTTGTCACAACACAGGTTAGTTAAACAAGGCTACTTTGTTGAACTCTTTACAATCCTATCGGAATTATTGGTGACATTTTAATAATCAAGGTCAGTTTTAGTGGAAAAAAAAACATGGACATCTACAACCAACTCTGGCTGTCCAAATAAATTTATATTCCTCATTGTCGGTGGTTCAGAGCAGTTCTTGGTTCCTTCACTTTTGACTGAAGCATTGATTAACATATTCTTCAAGAACATGTCCAAACCAATACTTTATTTGGACGTTCACGTACTATCCTGATCGCTATAGTCATATGGACAAGTAGAATCGCAGTAATTCTTTGGTCAACCTTTTATTAGTTGCGACCCAATTTTCAATCAATTCTCATTGAGATCACCCCCCTTTAATTTTCGTATTTAAGTTTAGCTACGACCTTGATAATACATTTTTTTAAAGTGGTGTCAAGTAGGCTAACTCCGTACTTCCCACGCAATGATCACAAACGGATTATGTTATGGAAAAAAAATTAGCTATAAACGTATATTACGAAAAATTAAACGGATCACGTCAGTCAAACAGTTAAAATTTGCATATTTGCAAGTACAATTTTTGAGGGTTTTTAGGATATGACTCCATAAGAAAATATGATACGCTTCGCTCTTCTAAAAGTTTTCATACAAAGTTACCTTTACCGATGAATGACCCTCCCACACCATCTGAGAATAATTCCTGCGGGCGCATATGATCGTTGCTATGACTAATCCCGCGTGGATAATGAATGACTTGCACAGTAGCATGAGCCGTACAGCATAAACTAGCGCGACATACGTAATCGACACGCGACTGTTGGAAATATGTCGACCATCATCAAGTGTTATGGGTAATTTTAAGCGGAAATCTATGATGAGCGAGATATGTCTAAAATGTGCGTAGAATTACCGGGGTTGGAGGCGTATGAATATATCAACCAATTGAAGATACACCCACCCCCACAACCCTCAATTTTCAAAATTTTTCGGAAAATGATCAGGAGCCTCCAAAGCATCAAAAAATGATTGAGTGATTTTGATTCTTCTGCTCACAACTCCGCCGTGACTGGACAAATTTTCAAAAACTAAAAAGCTTTTTCGTCGCTGGCATAGTAGCAACCTTGTGTGAAAATTTTATCCAAATCAGAGTAGTACTTTCCAAGTTATAGATGAGCCAAGGATTAGTGGATAGATCAACGTAAATGAGTGACATGGTTTTTCATGATGTACATGTCATATAACATCAAAAAAACTAATATGACATTTTAGGAATTTTACGCGATTACTATACTTCCTCCCTAGTGGCGTAGGAAGCAAAATTATCTTCTACAGAATTATGTTGCAATAAACATTAGCAAACAACATGGCCTGTTTGTGCTTGGATCATCCCATAACATATAATTCACACATATTTTTTTTTTCGGAAAACTCGCGGCGCTGCCCACTTCAGTTTCAGAGTCACTGCCTGAGAAGTAATAAAAACAGACTCCTTTTTACTTCCAAACATTGTTTATTCTAAATCATAGCATTAACCTTATAATCCAAGATCATCCTTTAACCTCACCATTGATTATTCCTAAAATGTTCATCAACAGAGATTCTCAACGACCGAAAAGGAAATCCCACAACCTGCTGCAACTGTCTGAGATATGGCAACGTTGACACCACATGACGGTAGTCGACAAGTATTTAGTTGTAATGTATGCTTGCTTTCGACTTTCAATTGAATTGGGTATCTTCTGGTAACCATATTAATCAAAGATTGTGGTTTTTGTAGATCAGTTCTGGCGTTACTTATGGTAAAGTAAAGAAGAGGAAGTGAGTTGGTTGGAGAGGTGGTTTGACTTTGTTAACTAGTATTTGGGAATTTAATTTTTACCTAAAGGATAAGTTTTGGGATTCGCAGTGTTGAAAAATTGCAAATTTGACTGGCTGGCATATAAAATAACAACCTCATTATGAAACATTTTATGAACTGTGATAATTTTCCAAATTCTTTCAATGTGGTGAACCATTGCGTATTTTTCTATCCCCTATAAAAATGAGGCTATAATGAAGATCGCAAATTAACATGCATACAGGATATGGTAAACTCCCTAACAAAACTTTTTCAGCTTCTTAGATCAGACATGGTCTGACAAAACGTACCAGTCAATATCAATCCGAATCTTTATAATAAACGAAATGGAAGCCCGAAATAAATGCACATTCTTCTTCTTTACAACAAAAAATTCTTCTTACCGTTCTCAGCACCGTTGTAGAGTCTGCAGTTATCAACGATCAACTGAAAATCAGCTCTAAATTTCGCGAATGTCTTATAATAACCACCGTCTAGTCTATCTTCCATCCTCTGGAGATCCATCGGTTTCCTTATTATCGAGTAATAATTAGGTGCATATTCTTCCTCCACGGGGTCTGTGAAAGGCCATGCGTCCTCGTGATTTTTCACAAAATCTAAGATTTTGTGCATGCCTGTCTGCAGGTCTTCGTCAGTTTGACGGAAACTAGAAAAATAAACGGCTGCTCAAATATGATTTAACGGCAATGATCATAATATTATAGCAAGAAAAGTACAGTAAAACCCCGGTTGACCAGTCACGGTCGTTTGTAGATATTTATTAATATGATTCATTTCATAACCCAGGATTGGAGGCGCCAGGATTGAAGGGGAGTCAGGAGAACATGTGATCCGCCTTCAGTACAAGTTTGAACTCGCTCGAGTCATTTGGTTGTCTGTAGCGATTTTTTTGTGTGCTAAAATTGAGGGACATTAATTTCGAACAACGATGTGCTGCCAGGTTTTGCTTCGGACTTGGACTTAGTGGAACGAAAACTAGGTAAACTTCAGCAGGCCTACGGAATAGTGTTTTGTCAAATGCCCAGGTTTTTCAGTGGTTTAAGGCATTTCCAGAAGGGAGAGAGTCGATTGAACCACGAAGCGGAAGACCTTCATCTTCAAGAACCGATGAAAATATCGACAGAATCCGGGATCTTGAACGTTGGTTGACAGAATTATGGGGAAGAGTTAAATTTGACTCACAGCACCGTTGCGCAGATCAAGAACAACTGACTTGAGTCCTTGTGGCTTTTTTCTCTTCCAGAAGTTTTAAAAATTACAAGCGAACTCATGTTGGGACAGTTGAAAACATTCAAACGGCTGTAACCGACCAGCTGAAGGCTATTCCAGTATTCCAGTTCCAGCACTGCTATGAGGAGTGGAAGAACCATCTTCAGCGCTGTGTGGCTTCAGAAGGAAGTTATTTTGAGGGTGACAATATAAAATTGTAATTATATTTGGTTTAAAAAAATTAAAAAAAAACAGTTTCACCACTTAATTTACTGTTCATTCGGTAACCCTTGATTTGTCGTTAATCATTTACATCGTAAAATACACAAGTCTACGTATGATTTCAAAATACAAAAATTGCATTTATGCTGTTTTTTTTGTTTTACTCTAGAATAAACCTAGCATATTCAGTATAATCATCTTAAGAACCCAACACGTTATACTCATCATCTTCGTTATCTACCTAGCAATAACGATAAATTGTTCATACATTTCAGAGAAAGGTTTTACGCAAGGCACAGAACGAAACATATTTAGATATCAAATCATCCACACAAATTCTTATTATTGTTGAAAACCAAAAATGAAATATCCCAAGGACACGGGCAGCGCGGTGCTGTAGTGGTAGATGCTACGTCTCTACTAATCAGTCGCCGTGAACTGCGAGGGTTCGACTTCGGTCCTAAAAGAATTTTACTTTTGGCTATGAATGTGGTGATTGTCCGTAGGTGGTAGAGGGCCTCTGACTGCCGAACGAGAATATGTTGTGCATGCCGCATGCACACATGTTCCCTCGCTGGAGTCCGGACGACGTTCCCCTTTCTGCTGTATCCCCCCACAGCACTACAGCCCCACGGTACCCTCGGGTGTTTAGGCCTCAAGTATAAAAATTACACGCACAAAACGTATACTGAGAATGTATAAGGCCAGATAAAATAATATGCAATGGTTCACCGTGAGAAAGGAGCAGCAGTACAACACTAGACAAATCTATAGGGAAGTTTTTTTTTTATAAAAGAAAATCTTAGGTTGTTTACCCAACGGAATATGTGTTCAGTTCAATTTTGAACAATAGATTTCAAAGAAGCAACAATAAAAACCACGCAATAAACGTTTTCTTCGCTACTATCAATGTTAGACTTAATCTGTACTCTATATGAGAAGTGGTCGTGTTCAGGATAATCAGGGTTATACTGTAACTCTGTATTTGGTGAGGTTTGAACAAAAATACTATGTATTTTCCAGAACTATTTATTTAGAGATTTATCCATACTACACAGATCAGAGAGTTCTAATAAGCATTCAAGTGACAACAGTTGAATTATATATGGAATCAAAACTGCTAAATATTTTATAAACCGGAATTTATCTTGGATAATGTTGATTTTTAAAAATAAAAATAAAAACACGGTTTAGTGTAAAACATAATAACCAATAATATGAGATTTCTCGTCAAAATATGCCTAATATTTTTTGAGGCAGGTAAACCCTCTAAACAAATATTAAATAAAAACATATCGAGTAACCTTATAGTTGCAGTGAATCATCTGATGTGAGACTTTCAAAAAGTTAAATTTACAAGAACACCATTAATGTCTAGGATTAGAATTTTACAATCTGAAATACTAGCACAATATATTACTTATCTTTAGAAATACTTGTATACTTATTTTATACCATTTGGAGCAACAAAAAAATAAATCGACTGAATAATGTCTGTTAACTGGGAAACTACAATACCCAGGAATTCTCAAAACTATTTTTTGAAATAACCTCATATTTTAAAAATGTCTTTATATTTTATTTGTGCATGCGTATTGAAAACATAAAACATATTACTATTTCATTTAATGCAAATTAACGTAAACTGGTTATTTATTTCATGGAATTTAGTATTATAGTACAAGCAACCTGAGATACATACAGCATGAATTTATAGCATTAGATGCCACTATGGAGATCATAAGTGACATCAAAAGATTTGTGAGAATAGTAGTTAGGACTTCTATGAAGATCATTACTATTGTTAAATACAAATCTAAACGAACGAAAAGAAAATCACTCACATTTGCGACGTTTTGACTTTTTTTGCCGGATTTGTGAGAGGCTGTATGAGAATCTGTCCTGTTGCCGCCGACAGTGAATTATTCGTTTGTCTTCCCACAGTAGTGGGTTTTGATGGTGTGGATACCAAGTTATCCGTAAGATTATCACTCTTCTTTTGTCGTTTTGACGACTTTGCAGTGTTACCTGAAATAAATAAAAAAATAAATAGAGTTTTTTAATAGCTGAAATACAGGGTGCAGCAGCATAACTTCCCTTTTCAAAACTCGATTAAACCATGTCAAAACATTTTTATCTGTTTTTTTTTTTAATGTTGATGCATGCTTGAAGTTTTGTCATGACTCTTGCCAGCATATCAGGCGTTATTTTCGTACACCGAAGCAGCCGCGCAGGTAGAAGCCTAAATGCCAGTTCACCGCAGCTGCTAGGAAAATCCTAAAAAAACTTTGTTCTGGATTGTTGAAGTTCGACACGGTTAGGATGGGAGGCCGAAGTCAGACGGGTCTGTCTGGCAGGCACATCGCGCGGCGCCAACATAGAAGAGAGCTCTGAGGAGCAAAGCTCATTGGTGTAGCGGTAGAATAGAGCTAGATCACCGATTGCCCGCCGATGGGAAAGGGTCCAGAGACTGTCTGTTAGAGAAGTGTCATCGATCAGTCTGACAGCCCTCCTCTGAACAGAGATCGACTTATCGCTCTGAATTTCTGCATGTAGAGTGCTGTCATCAGCAAAGCTGTGGATTGGATTAATCGTACAGGGAAGGAGTTGGTTGATATGTAAGAGGAACAGTGTCGGAGCCAAGAGCGATTTCGCGTTGACGTTGTGGGATGAAGAGAAGAACCCGTCAATACGATGGATATCTTGCAGGCACAGAGAAAGTCAACCACTCATTTGAAAAGTTTTGCTGGGAGTCCATAGGATGGAAAATGATGACACAGCTGATCGAACGCGTTCGTGGTATCAGGAGCAACGACATGAACCTCACCAGAAGACTGGATGAGTTTTCTTCACGACTGAGTGACGTAAGTTGGGAGGTTCCCCTGTGGATCCCTGGAAACCATTCTGCATGTCGCTAATTAAACCGTGACGTTCGAGGTTCTCCAAAAGCTCGCGATTTATGCACATCGCCAACACCTTCCTTGTAACAGAAATCAAATTATTCTTGGATGTTGTTGTTCCACTCTTGTAGAGTTTTGGACGGTTCACATAAACAAATGTTTTCAAACCACTCCACAGAAAAAAAATCACAAGGGGTCAAATCGAGAGAGCGAGCCGACCACACCAAATCGCTCCTAAATGAGTTCCCTCAAGACATCGATCGATGCTCTTTAAGTGTGAACTGTTGCATCGTCTTGTTGGAACCAAATGTAACATAAGTCCAACCCATCTAGCCGTGGAAAAAAATTCCTGTAACATGTTCACATACCAGTTCGAATTCACTGTTATTGCGACTTCATTTTCCTCAATGAAACAGGCGAGAAAATTGCACACCACACTGTGACTTTCGGTGAATGCAAAGGCCTTTGATGGAATCCCCGAGCATTGGTGTCAGCCCAGTAGCACGTTTTGTTTGTTGATGGATCCACACAAATGAAAATGGGCTTCACCATTAAAAAAAATTGCTTCCTGAGAAGAGAATTGGAGAAAGCACTCACACGCGTTCATCCGAGAATTGAAGTCACGTTTAGAAAGTTGCTGAACAATTGCCAGCTTGTAAGGATGGAATCGAAGTTCATGATGAATAATTCTGTGATCGCAACAATGAAGCTCTCATTACCTCAATGTTTTCAGGTGAGCTAATGGGCTGAGGGACTATAGTTCTTCGTCTTGTCGCATTTGCAGTTTGTCTGAACGTAGTGACCCCCGAAATTGATTTCGGGTCCGGCCAACGGGGCTAAATTAAAGCTATTCTGAAAGGCGCGCTGAATTGTGATCCCAGAACATCTGCTCGAAAAATATGCCACTGCGGCAAAAGCATGCTCCTCACTGTTCCAGCGCATGATGGCGACTGAACTGTGTCAAGACAAAACTTTATAGTCCCACCGCTCGAACGAGACCACGCTCCGCTACGAGATGAACCGACTGAATGACGCGAAAAAGAAGTTATGGTGACACCCAGATTGCATCCATCTCTCAATGTTAATGCAGTTTATCATAGTTGTTTCGTCGTACATTCAAGATATTAATCATTATTTGAAATTTGCACATTGAAAGAAGACTAATTTCTGTATTTCCGCTGAAGGATCACATTCTAAGGAAGAGGCGTGAAAAACCTATCAAGACACAGCTTGACATGAAGATTTATGCTTAAACTTAGTGGGCAGGTTTTTGATACTTTTTGTTCACTGAAAAAGGGAAAAATACTCGATATACTTTTTACATGCAAAACATTGAAATTCGCTCGGCACAAAAATTCCACATTCGAAACCTTGCGCAACTACGATACTTTCCTGCCTAACGAGGCGGAAAATAAAATACGACTTTCAATCTAACATCAACAAATGACATTCAATAGCAGGTAAATAGGTGCTTAAACCTTACCTTTGATGTCGGCATTGCTAGTTTTCTTGGACTTCTGACTCTTTGTTCGAACCATTTCATTCCGGTCTACCGAAGATTCACTTTGACTTTCTTCTTCACTCTGCTCTTTCAATTTCAATCTGCGTTCGTACGCTTCCTGTCTTTTTGACGCCAATTTTTTATTTTTGGCTTTTTCTTCTTCGTCCCGTTTTTCCTCGGACGATTTTTTCGGTTTTTCTGTTGTTGCTTCTGGTTCCTGAAATTTTAAATTCCTGTAAATACGAGGGCGGACGATAAGTAGCCTCACCGCCAGATAGCTCCACTATCACAAGAGAAATTTACTATCGAATAGAACATTCTCGTAGACGGCTACTGTCAAAATTTCATCCGAATCGCACTCGTAATTTTGTTTTGACCGCGTGTGTGTCTTCTGATTAAAAAAAAATGGAAAAAGAGCAATATCGGTTGGTAATTCGATTCCTGTTCTGGGAAGGGAAGTCGGCAGTGACTCTTCTCCTTCGATGGCGATCGTCTAAAATTGGTTTATCGAGTTTCAACGTGGTCGCACGTCGGTTTTTGATTAGCCACGCCCAGGTGCCCCGAAAACGGCTACCACGGAGTATAACCTGAAAAAAAACCATGATCTCGTATTGGCGGACCGCCGACTGAAGGTGCGCGAGATACAGTGTCACGTGCTAAAATGACGTAACCTTTCTTTTTACTGTTTTGATCACTTATGAGTAATTTAAATTTCTCTTTACTGATTATAGAGTACCGATTCCTAGGCCAAACCTTTTTCAATGATTCTTTTGTCAAATTCCATAGTTTATTGATTGTAGAATTTCTCATGTATTATATCTGTCATTCTCAGCGACTCAATATTGTATTAAAATCGTTCTTCTATCTGAGAAATTTGCTCATAAATATTGTTGGTCCCTGGTAGACAGATTTGTTTCTGCCTAGAATTTGTCCATCGGCAACCAGCGCGCCATCTTATGATGTTTATACGTACTAGCCATATATGAATGTTTACCTTTCTATCAAGATACCTTCTTTACCGGCTTTTATCTGTTCCTTTCGATGTTCTGTCGAACGTGTTTTCTTCAGGGCAAATTAGTTAACATTCGTTTAGGGGGTTGCGTGCGCAGACGGTCCAGCGCCATTTTACTTTCTGCTGTAGTTTTGGTTGTGTGCGTGCGTTATTTTTCGTTAACCCTAGATTACGGGACTTGTTTCAAAATACTTTAATACGGGACTATCGTAAAATATACGAAGATAATATAAAACTTGCCTTGTACAATAAAATTCTTATGAAAAAACTCATGAAAAATAAAAGATATATTTCTAAGGACTTTACAATAAAATGCAAGAACAAAATATCAATAAAAAGTCAATATATATTATTTGACACTACATTCCTTGCATACATTTCCTCGATGCTCACCACAGATCGGATGTCCACACTGTCCACAATACGTCGTTGTCATCCGTCTCTTTTGAGAAGGGCAAAAAAAGCACGTTTTACGCTTTTTTTCTAGAGGGATTTCAGGTGTTGTATCTTTTCGAATATTGAGAAGAAGGGCAATATCTTGACTTATATTTCGACGCAACGTAGGAGTCGATAATCTATGCCTCATCCATGGCTCAGCAAGGGGTTTCTCTCCTCTTGATAAAGCATTAAAAGTATAAATCACAAAGGAGTTGATGCTGGCTATATTCACCATACCATATAGCACACACAGGGGCCATCTTCTAGTTTTCCTGCTGCAGCTCATGTTGGAACACATTTGGTCGAATGTGTCGACACCCCCTTTAGTTTCATTGTAGTTCTGAACAATTGCTGGTTTTCCTGTTTGTTTTGAAATTTCAGCACCCTCATGCATCGTAGACAATAGCAGTACTAATTTCTGCTTTCTAGGCACATACGAAAGTAATACTTTTTCTTGATCAAAACAGAACATTGATGTATTTACGTTTCGCTGCCTTATGTCAAGCAGTTCGGGAGGAATTTCCCTTTTATTTTTTCTTAGTGTTCCAATTATTGTCAGTTTGTAAGGATCTTGGAGTAGTTCATCTGCCAAACTGATGGACGTGAACCAATTGTCCATGGTAATATTCCTGTTACTTCCATGGACAGATTTTGTAAGCTCCTTTACAAAGTAGGTAGCAAGCGGCAAACCATTCGTTCTGGTACTTTTTCCTATATATGGACTAGCATCAACCATATAGCATGTTGAGTTGTCACATAGCATGACAATTTTTATACCATACTTTGAAGGTTTATTCGGTATGTACATGCGGAATGGACATCGTCCACGAAATCCCAAAAGCTGTTCGTCTATAGTGAGGTAAGAAGATGGTGTATATGATGATCTGCAAGTTTCAATGAAAATATCCCATAACTCACGGATATGGGTGAAAGGATCATTAATTTTTCTTTCCTGTCTTGTTTCTCTTGAATCAAATCTGAGACAGTTCAGTAAGAACATAAATCTGTCACAGTTCATGCAGGCTCTATAGAAGGAACCAGAAATCGTCGTATCAAACATATGTCTGGCAGATAGATGGTTGTCTTTCTTGGCAGCCGAGAGTATCAAAATTGCAAACAGCGCCTGTAGTTCTTCTTTAGTGGTAGGTGACACATTGTTGTTACCCGTGTAATTTTGCCTTTGTCGTACAATTTCTTCATTAGTGTGTAGTAATATTATATCAAGAATAGGATCAGAGAAGAAATGTAAAAAATATTCTTCCAGTGTCACATACTCCTTCGCTTCACCTTTCGGGCCTGCCACAAAATGGATGAGGTTTCTTGAAGCAGTTTTTTTAGTTCTGCTGGGCTGTGTTGATGTCCATCTCTGACCATTATTTCCTTTCAAACTCAAAATATTGGATTTAACTAGAAAGTGATTTGTTTTACAAGGTTCAAGTTGAGGTTGATGTACGGGATCATCGGAGTTCACATGGCCGTCATCATTCTTTTTCTCTGCCGAAGTAGTCGTTTCTTGTTCATTTATAGGAACATTCTCGTCCAAATAGAATTCATCATTTGAATCATCTGATCCCTTCATCGATTCTACTTCAATATTATCTTCTTCCCAATCACTGCCACTATCCTCAAATGGATCTGGATCACTGTCTCCTCCCTCCATAATTTTTCTCACTTCTTCTTCCAATTCTGCCTGAGATAAGGATCCGTTTTGAAGTCATTTCGCTGGAAAGACATGTACTCAGAACGCTATAAGTATGAAAAATAGAAAACACCTTACCTCACAAATAAATGTCAGCAAAACCGCTTTTCAAAGAATAGAATAAAAATCAGCTTGCGCGAAAATAGCAAACAGTGACACGGGACTATCGTAAAATTTACGACGGAAGTGCAAAATCTCCGTTACGCTTGACAAATACACGATGTTACGTACACCGAAGTCTAGCCGAAAACTAAATAGGAAGGTATCGAGAGTCTCATTCCGATACGCTAACCGAAAATGAACGAAAACCCACGACGAATATTGTCGATCGTAAATTTTACGAATGTCCCGTACTCTAGGGTTAACTTCCAGATTTTGGGATATTAACGCCCCAAGCACCAGTTTATGTAGTACATAGTACCCTTTTATCTTGTACCTTACGTTTAGTCGTGTTGGTTAGGGTACTACCACGTCCATTTTGTAATAGATTTTAACCTCCAGCGGTAAGTTCTCTTTTGTATACCATCACTATGTCCTTTAATGCTTATCCTGGAGAAGTTTGTTGAATATCTGATTCCTGTTAGTGGAAAACCACACTCCTCCAGCTTTGTTTTGTAGCTGCCTTGTAGCTGTTTTTCAGCCGATTTTGTTGAAAGCCATCTCTTCCCCTTTATAAAAACCCTGATGAACAGGTAACATACAATTTTAATTGGGTATTTTATAGATATTGATATATTGACTGTTGCTGACTGAAATTCTTTGAGTGTTCTTGATTTTGTTTGGCATTTTACTAATTCAAATATAGGGTAGAGCCTACATGTCACTGTATTTTGGGCTTATTACATTACATTAATCATGATTTTTAATTTTGAGCTGCCATAACTTATTGTAGAACAAGGAATAACTTTCTGAGGGTATATCAATTTGGTATATTTTTATATTTTCTTGCCCTTGCAGAAAGAAAAGTAAATTTCTAGTAACAGAGAATGTATATGGATTTTTCTTCAAGTTTGAGTCTTTTAAATGTGTAGTTCTGTCTCAGACATAGAGTAGAGAGTAGAATTTTAAACAATCTTTTTTCTCTCTCTAGGGTGTTTTTTGTACTGTAAATTTTTATTGGTTTTTTTGACCTGAGCATTTGTAAGCTGTGGACATCTCAGCTGTACCTAGAACTGTAACTGGAAGAAGACCATTATCCAGATAAGACTGTTGTCCAGATAAGTTTAGGTTTAAGCGCTGAAATATTTGTAAGACGTATATTTGTAAAGCCTTCGTACGTGTACCATGGCAAATGTTTTGCAGGGTTAGTTATTATGGTCTATTAATTTTCTTGTCAGATAGTTTTTAATAACATCTTTTCTTCTAACTTATATTCCAGTGGTGGACCATATGTGCTGCTTGTTTTGGCAATATATTGTGATTCGTCTTTAGATGTCTTGTTTTATTTGGCTCTCTGTATATAGTTAATTAGGTTTCATCATTACTGTTAGATTCTTTTCTTTGTGTGGTGGTCAAGCAAAACAAGTTCCGACTAACATCTCGGGGATTTGTGACCTTAATACCCTCCCCCCCCCCTACACTCCGCTTTATTGAGCTAGGGCCTAAATTTGCACGCCACTTGACAGCTGTTTTGCTTTGACTGATCCTTAGATTTCATTTATAGTAATTTATTAATTGATTAATTAGTTTAAAACAAGGAAAGAGGAATCACCCCACCATTTTCTCTTATTTATAAAAACAGGCGTGGCAACAGATACATCTCAAAAGACCGCGGCGGTCATATCCTGAATGAAATATTGGGCATGAGAAAGCTGTCTGCGCAACCGTGAGACTACTTGCAGTGTTTGACGCTGTTTAAGCGCAATCCGAATGCTACGAACTGCTGCCCCATCCACCTTACTCTCCAGATCTGGCCCCGTGTGATTTCTTTTGTTTACAAACTTAAAGAAGTCACCCGCTGGGCAGAAATGTGAGTCGAATGAGGAGGTTATCCCCGCCATAGAGGCCTACTTTGCAGACCTTCAGAAAACGTATTTCTCAGACGGGTTAAAACAGTTGGAGCAACGCTGGGCCAAGTGTATCGAGCTAAAAGAAGACTATGTTGAGAAATAAATCGCCACTTTCCAAAATTTAGTTTTTCTGTTCTAAGTACTTATCGGACCGCCCTAGTATATGCAGCGGCTCCGCTCACGTGGAAGAAGTTTAAAGTATAGGTCATACATCTTTGAATGAGACTAGTTTCGCAGAAATAAATGCAATATTCAAAGTAATGCAATAGTTATTTTGCTAATAGATTTTTAATTCAACATTTTAATTCAAATATATGTGAATGTGTCTCCTGTTTGTCGGCATCACGTCTAAACCACAATACGAAGAGACGTAAAAATGTGTACGCCAACTAACACCCCAGTAAGGTTGTCCGTGAACTCATCGTGGAAGCTGCATATACATATATTTACAAGATGTCTATGAAATACACGAATACCCCGAAAAGTTTGCATCCAGGCATTTTTCGTTAAAAAGGTTTTAAGAAAAGTTTTAGGATCACAAAAATAGTTTGTCGATGACATAAAAATGGTATTTAAGGAATTGACAATCTAGCACTATAATCAAAGTAAGTACATATTGCTACAAATTTCTTTCACATCAGTCACATAATAAATTTTTTATTAGAATAATATCCTCCTAAACAGTGGAAGCTTGCCTTAATTATACCTGTCCTTAAAATCTCAAATCCTACTGAATTTAAACATCTCAGACCTATTAACGTGTTACCTGTGTTTTCAAAAATTATAGAAAAAATCATACAGATAAAATATACAATCAGGTTCAAAATAAACGCAGGCAAAATTTTGGTCAAATTCGGATCGTCATAACTTCATTATTCTTGACTCGATTTTATTGATTTTTTTCCGGTAGGCTGTAGGCAGACTCATTGGATTTAATCTACATATCTGATTTCTTGATTGTAGCCCATTACTTGACTTGTTGTGTAACTTTTGACTTAATTTAAGAACATGCTGTATAATAATTCCACGCTGCAAACTTTCAAAATACAGTGTAAGCGCAATAACCATATCTCCCTTATCCTCTAATTTTGAGTTCATGAAAATTCGAGCGAGGATTAACAAAATGAATGTAAGACAATTCACTAATTTTAATCGGTGTTCTATTCTTTAGATCGCCATGTGTCGACTCCAATACTGTTTCTGTGCAGTAAAGCTGTTGATCCACAGCCTCACGGATGACAGTACTTTGCATGCGGGCATTCAGAATGCCAATCCAAGCTATGAATTGGAGAGGAGAAGACTGGTAGCGATACAATAATGACTTCCTTTTTTGACATAACACGCGTAGGTCAGCACTGATATGCTTATTACCGCAAATAGACGCGACACCTAGAACATCACTTAGCACGAACACGTCTCCTCAATCGAGGCAGCCGCTGGGAAAAAGCTGAGATATCTGTATCAAGACTTGAAATATTTTTCTCACTCAGTAGTAAGTAAGACAAAACACAATTAGGATGATCACACTAAGAAAGCGAATGTCGAAATGCAGTAAATGCACGATGCAAATGCCTTATTTATATACCCTTACAAATTTTGTATGACTGTAATTAATATGTAATGCTTTTGTCAATCCAACTAACCGTGTAAGGTATTGTTTCATGCATGCTGAAAATCATCAGCACGACCTAGCTGGGACAAATAAATGAAAGCAGATCAAAATATAGTCAAAATCACGAAAGATGACTATTACGTCATACCATAAATTGTACTGAAGTAATCAATGGACGTACGTCGATGATAAAATTACAATGTCAGGAACACAATGACAGCAAATTTATATTATGATTTTGCGAAGTTAGGTTATGATTATGATTATTTTTATTTCCATTTTATTTCATGGTTTTGGGTGATACCTTAATAATAATTTTAGGGGGTTGTTGTTTTGAAAAAAAAAACAATTATGAGTAGAACCTTAAGACAGGAACAACAAAGACCAAAATATTATTCGAAAACAACATAACCCAACTATTCATCTTTCAAAGATGATCGATCATGCAACATGAAAACATCGTCTATCTTTGTCGGATACATGCAATTTAGTAATACAGTCTGTTTAGACGATAAAATTCTGTTTGTCTCTGTCTGACATATCTGAAACATCACCAAAAATATTCACAAATCGCTGTCGTTTGTCTTTACTACAGACTAAAATGATGACGTAATCGTCATCTTTCATGATTTCGACTATAACCTCATACAGCTATAAAGTCGATAGAAATACAACAACTGTTTGTTTACCATAAATGAATAACAAAATCGCCTAGATGTATCAAATCAACAAACGGGAATATGTGAAAACAAATACATACCGGTTTTTTTAATCGAGTTGAAGTCCTTCTAGGCAAATTCTCAAGCAAACGCTTTCTCGCTAAATTTTCTTTCTCCCTGAAAAGCCTCGGAAGTTCTGGTAGGAAATTCTCGCTCAATGTCTGATACAACTGACGTTCCGCTTTACTCGAGGACTTTTTGAATTTCTTGGTTAATTGAAACCAATCGTCTTCAGTAAAACAAATAACTTGCCAAACAGATTTCTTTTTGTTGCCTTTAGTATGGAAATCCTCCCTGTACAGGCGTGTTCCATAAAAGTACCAGTAGGCAGAATCGTTACTATCATACCTAGAGAATAAAGTTTAAAAAATATTTATGTAGAGAATCGGTACGAAGTGTCAGATCTAATAAATATAGTGAAGCAAAGATTAGTGACAGTTTTTATTTGTTACGTTTCGCACTCCTAGGTGTAGGCTTTTGTAAAATCGGTTCTGGAATCATAAACTACTGACTCCAGAAGGACAGAAGTTAATCTAGTCCTAGTTGAAGTTTAGGAAATGGTCTTCTCAAATTCTTGGCGCATATCTTCTGAATTATGTATCAGCAGAAGAATATGCATCATTTTCCCGTATCCAAGAAAATTACAAACAATGCAAAACACGAAAGGTTTAGGAAGGAGAAATTTTGGATCAGGAATTTTATCATTCGTAATATATGGAAATAATCAGACAATACTCTATTAAATTGTTGATTAACAAGCAAATATTTCGATACAACAGACTTGTGACGCATAAACAAAACAATTATTGAATTTATACCTCTTAAAGGAATTAATCCAATTTGCTAGGTATACGCGTTCAAAATTCATATGCTCAACGCTCAAATCAGCCTCAAATCGTTATTTTTTGTTGTCGTTGATAAATCTAGAAAAACATAGCAAAACTGATATCATGATACCAACATATCGCGCACGTTTTATGGGTTATCTAAAATGTAATTTACTTTCGACAGGACATGTCCAAAAGTGTTCTTAGCTTGTATAATACAAAGGAACAAATGCTTTCAGGAACTTTTTTAAAAGGACACATTCTTACTAGACCTATTTTGCCCCTCAGGATGTACTATACGAGTATATTTGGTGCGCATTAATTTGGCACTACCCTATGTAGTATGCATGATAATTGAAGTTTTGTTAAATATTTTGTTTAAAAGTAATGCAACGCACATGAAACTTCAACACTGTATTGTATCTCGAAAACTAGAGCCATTTGACATTTTTTTTTAGTGTTCTGCATACTAGTCTTTAGAGAATTGACCTCAACCTACCATGGTTCAAAATGGCTGTTCTCCAGTATAACTAATACAGCTTCAGCAAGATAGTTTAAATAATTTCATTGATTTCTTACGTTGTTTCGTTTATCTCAAGAACCAGCCAATAAAAAAAAACGAAATGCACAGAGGCATTTTCAAAGTTTTTTGTGGGTCACAGTAAAACTGCAAGAATTACTTTCATACATCCCTCTCCCTCATACATACATACATGCGAGGTCTGTAAATTAAGTGATTAAGACTGGCAACGTAGCGTTCGATCTGGCAACACTGGAAGCGTCCGCCTTCAGTACAAGTATGAACTCGCTCGAGCCATTTGACATTGACATTAGTTTCGAGCAACGGTGTGCTATCAGATTTTGCTTCAGATTTGGGCACGGTGCAATGAAAACTCTTGCTAAACTTCAGCAGGGCTAAAGAGATAGTATTTTGTCAAGATCATAGGTTTTTCAGTGGTTTAAGGTATTTTCAGAAAGGAGAGAGAGAGTCATGAGAATGAAGCAAGAAGCGGAAGGCATCACGATAATGCTTCTTGTCGCATTTTCAATAAACGAGTTTTTGGCCAGTAAAAACATTCCTGTGGCTCCTCAGCCTCCTTATTCGCCTGACTTGAGTCTTGTGGCTTTTTTCTCTTCCCGAAGTTGAAAAACCACTTCAAAACATTCAAACGGCTGTAACCGATCAGCTGAAGGCTATTCCCGCATCGAAGTTCCAGCACTTCTATGAGAAGTGGAAGAACCGTCTGAACTGTGTAGCTTCAACAGGAAGTTATTTTGAGGGTAACAATATGAAATTCTAAAGTATATTCAGATAAGAGATAGACCGGATGTAAACAAAAGGTTCGGGTGATTTTCACGCTAACGCCGCCGTCTCGACGTAAAACGGAGCCCTCATTGGTCAATTCGCAATTAAATGCCTATGCCGAGCGGCAGAGCAGTCGTATCAAGGCAGAGTCACATTCAGGTTCAGACGTGTTACGTATGTCGTGTGCATCATTGCAATTTGATATTTCTTTGGAAGTTTTCGTTTGTTATCTTATTAAGTTGTTGAGTTTGTCGTTGTTATTGTTATACCTTGTTATAGATTGTTATTGTTAACAATTGCTTGCGCAAAATGCCCAGTAGTACAGATACTGCCGATGAAGTTGTAAACTCCTGTAGTCCACCTAGGAAACGCTCTAAAAAAAGACACCTGAGAACTGAAATGAAAGAGGTCATTTTGAATATACTCGTATATAAGATCGAGCGCGAGGAGAACGAGGCATCAACCATCAAAGAAATTGTTGTGAAGGTTTCTCACAAAGTTGGGGTGTGTCGCGCATCAGTGTCTAATGTGTTAAGACAATACAAAAAAAATCACACCTTTTCTGAGCCAATGACCAGTAAACATCGCAAAAGTATTGTTAAATCATTGGATGAAGCTGATAAGCATGCGATTAGGAGGAAAGTGCATGAATTCTTCTTTAGGAATGAAATACCTACTATAGATAAAGTACTGCAGGAGGTAAATGGAGATACAACGTTGCCAAATTTCAAACGATCAACTTTCCATGCGTTACTGAAGCATTTAAATTTCAAATGGAAAAAACGGGGTCGTAATAGTTTACTACTGGATAGAGAAGAAATTGTGTTATGGAGGAGGGATTATTTAACAAAAATTGGGAAATATAGAAATCAAAACAGGAAGATTTATTACCTTGATGAAACGTGGGTAAACGCAGGACACACTACAAGTAAAGTATGGGTTGATGATTCTGTAACTTCATCCAGGAGGGCCTTTCTAGATGGACTGTCCACCGGATTAAAAAATCCAGCAGGTAAATACGAGTAATAGACAACAATCGGATGTTTTTCAAACCTTGGGAACAAGGTTCTAAACATTAATTCCAGGGGGCAGATAAAACATATTACAAGTAACAAAACTTTTATAACTTTCGATAAAATGCGTGGATGTTTTATTGTCATTTTCATTTGTTAGAACTTTTTTAAGCCATGTTTTTATGTGTTTTCGATATTTCAATAATTTTTTAATATAATCTTAAAATATGTCGAATATTATAAACTTAAAAAAAGTTACTAAGTTTTATATTGTGTACCCTTCCTAATATTTCTAATCATTTTAATTCATACTTTAAGCTTTATAAAGTTATAATTTGTTAATATTAATATTTGCGCGTATTTCAGGTTCCTGATCATTCATTTTTTAAAGGTTTATAACTTTAAATTAAATTGTGAAGCGCTGAGTAATCATACGACGTTCAATATTCTTTCTTTCAATATGACTAAATAATCCCAATTATAGCAATCTGATACTCATGTCTCAATGTTTTTTCGCTGAATGTGATGAAAACATTTGAAAAAGGTTCGCTTATTGAAATAAATCTACACCAGTTAGTACTTCGATTTCCAGGTAAAGGGAAAAGGCTCATTATCTGCCATATTGGCAGTGAGGGTGGATTTGTTGTTGACGGTCTGTGGTGCTTTGAGTCTAAGAAAACTGGAGATTACCACGAGGAAATGAATGGCGAATCGTTTGAACAGTGGTTTTCAAAAATTTTACCGAACTTAGAGGAAAACGCAGTAATTGTGTTGGATAATGCGCCTTATCATTCTCGAAGAATGGAGAAGGTCCCAACAACGGCTTCAAGGAAAGTTGATGTTCAAAATTGGCTCCGCTCGAAAAATATCTACTTTGAAGAAGCAATGCTGAAAGTACAATTATTAAGAATTGTCAAGGATCACAAGGCGGAATATCAAAAATACGCCATTGACGAAATGGCAGCAAGTCAAAATAAAACTGTGCTCCGTTTACCTCCATACCATTGCGAGCTCAATCCCATTGAGCTCATATGGGCAGAGGTTAAAATTATATAGCTAAGCACAATACAACTTTTAAATTTTGTGACCTCAAAGGACTTTTCAAAGAAGCACTAGAATTAATAACAGCGCAAAAATGGGAAAACTGTATTAAGCATGTGAAAGACAAAGTTGAAAAGAGAATGTGGGAACGGGACAATATTTTAGAGGAACAAGTCGAGCCATTCATTATTGACGTTGGTGCTTCAGGCAGTAGTGATGATGAAAGCTCATCAAGCTCATCTTTCCAATAAAAGATGTCGTTCATCAAATTCGGTAAGTTATAAGTAATTATAAAGCTACTGTATTTTTTAATTAATTATTGACATTTTTGAACCCATTTTGGCAAAACCTATTCAAGAATCTACTTTCTGACAATGTTCAACCATGCACATTTTTTTACGTTTTGAACGTTTTAATTTGGTTACATATTTACCTAGAAATCAAAAAATATACTAATCAATATTCTAAAAGCAATTTTAAGAGATATACGATTATTTTTAATTTAGGCTATTTTGAGATTATATTCGACTGTATTTCACCAAACATCAGGCGGCATCCGAAGCTGGAAATCGAAGCGAAAATTTTGAAACCCTTATGTATATTTACATCATTATATATTTCTTACCCCACCCCCACATGATCCTATATCCATCACCAATCGTATACACATCGAATTGTGCTAATTTACTACAAAGTTACGCAAAGCAGCATCTACTATCTAAAATATGTACTGCGTGACTCTTAATACGTCCCTGCCGAATGTTACAGCGTTCGATGATCACGTGGTCTTGTTTATGTCCGGTCTATCTCTTATCTGAATATACTGTAATTATATTTGAATAAAAAAAATCAGTCTCATCACTTAATTTACAGACCTTGTACGCCTGCACGTTTAATGCCAGTGTTTATAAAAATCAATATCAAAATTAATGCCACAGACTATTTTTTGTATCGCAGTGTTATCAATAAATTTCATACCCCAATGGCTCAACTCTCAGACTGTCAGCCTCCAAATTCTTCAGTTGATCAAGCACGTCTTCGGCATCCAGTCGAAAATCACACAGTGCTTGCAGTATATCAACCTTGGTACGTAATGGTAATAATTGAAAGTCAATGTCTGTGTTGAACGGATTGTACGTGTCGTGTTCCTGACATTTTTGACGGAACAGACGCCTCAAGAACATCTGATAGTTAAACGTGGATATTTCATTGTTGGGAAGACAACCGCTCAGCAATCTGACAATGAGCTCTTGCAGCCACGAGGTTTCTTCGGTTCCGTCAGTTAGAAGCGCCTCCTCCAAGTCCTGAAATGTTGTTTTTGAGTCAGGTCCAGAAGCGTTAAAAGGAAAAGTAGACATTACACTTCAAAGCATTATTTTGGTGTTAAATATTCATTAGATATACATATACTCCAATAAATAAATATGTCATGAGGTGTTTGTGATACAAAAAATCTACTTGTCTCGATTAATATTTGAGAAAAAGGACAAACTTTATGATTACCACGCGTTTAAATTCGCAAATTTCTAAGCGAAACCTGATTAGCTATGTGTATGAAATTATTTATCATTTTTTGTTTCAGTAGTAGATCTATGTAAAAAATGTGTAATCTTAGAGTCTTATTAATAACGGAACGTCTTTTTCTAATGCCAAGCATGTAACATTTACAATCGTTCACCCCCTACAACTCCAAACCCCCCAACTTTCAACCAATCCATAAAATTTCGAAACAATAGCAGAGGTAGCAGAAACGTCGAAACACGATGTTTTATTGATTTTTGTTTTTCTTCCGTAGCTCCGCTGCCAGTGAGTCAACTTTCAAGACCAACAAAGCTTTTTCGTTTTTATCATAGTACAAGCCAAAATCTCATCAGAGGTACCTTCGGAATTATATAGGGAACAGACAACCGACAGGCAGACCTTAGTCATTCTCTCGGTCAAGTACTCGTATAGTAGAAAACACCAACTTTATCACTCCATAATCAAATTTGCAGCATAAAAATAACACATGTTGCAATTACGGCATATCAACCTATTTTCAATTCAATTCAAAATAAGTCTATAACGCATAGGTAGCTGTGAAAAATAAAAGCCATGACAATTGTTTTTATTTATCACAACTGTCAGAATACGTTTAAAATAGTTTTGGGTAGTTAAGGTTTTCAAAATGGGTAGAGGAAAGGTTATTAGTGAGAGAATTCGGTTACTAATAATTAAATTTTTTAATTCTGGGAAATCAAACTCAGAAATTACAACTTTGTTAGACTTAGTTGTAACAGTCGCAGTAGAGTTATTCGCAAAAAAATGAAGCATTCCATGTTGACTGTCTGAAGAGACAAGTGAAATTTCCAGCATCCATTATGGTCTGGGGCAGTATGTCATCAACGCGTAGAGTAGGAAAACTTCATTATATTTTTTGAGGTATGGCACGCTGCACCATCTTGCTGAAACACAAAATCTTGGCCGGATGTCAAACATTCTTCCATCACTGGTAAAAGCGATTCTTCTAAAATTGCCAAATATTTGTTTGTATCCATATTTCCATCAATACAATGAAGTTTTCCTACTCATTTTGATGACATACTGCCCCAGACCATAATGGATGCTGGAAATTTCACTTTTCTCTTCAGACAGTCAACATGGAATGCTTCATTTTTTTGTGAATAACTCATCATCATAACTCATCACATCACTCCATTGTATTGCACACCATTGTTGAAGTGTGCATTGTCTATGTTCTTTAGCCCATCTAAGCCGATTTTTCTTTTGCAGTGGAGTTAATAGTGGCTTTTCTTTGGCCTATAAACAAGTTGTGCAACTTTAGGGTTTTGACTTCACTTCTTTTATAAGACAACTTACCTTGCAAGTGCTAAATCCCAGTTTGTGGGCCAACAGCGTCACTCCACAGAGCACTTGATTGTAAATAATTGGCACGCCTGTTTTTCACGATTATTCTTCTTAATGCTCTTATGTCGGCATTTGTGATATTACTTTTTTTCACATATCGTGGCTTAATATTAACTGAACCAGTTACATTATATCTTCTAACAATATTTCTCACACTGTACCGCGATATGTCCAACAAAGTTGCAATTTCTGAGTTTGATTTCCCAGAATTAAAAAATTTAATTATCAGTAACCGAATTTTCTCACTAATAACCTTTCCTCTACCCATTTTGAAAACCTTAACTACCCAAAACTATTTTAAACGTATTCTGACAGCTGTGATTAATAAAAACAATTGTCTTGGTTTTTATTTTTCACAGCCACCGTTATAGACTTATTTTGCATTGAAATGAAAATAGGTTGATATGCTGTAATTGCAACATGTGTTATTTTTATGCTGCAAATTTGATTATGGAGTGATAAAGTTGGGTGTTTTCTACAATATATTATCAAAATATTCATTGTTGATATTTTAAACCTATAACACCCTGCTCCATTTTTATTATTTGTGTTTGATAAGAAAAAAACTAAGATTTCAATAGTTGGGCCAACTGAAGTGGGAAGGGTCTCGTAGTATCCAGGTGACCCGCCACTACTCGATACGTGTAATTAAACCATATGAATGCATGGGAAGTACAAAGTCTATTTATTTGACTCCATAAACGATGAAAGTATCACATTCGCGAAAATATTCAAACTTCAGTTAACAGGTTTTTTGTTGCAAAATATCTCAATAACACAAATAGATGTCATTCATTTCCGTTACTTTGTCATACTGGGTCTGCCTGTCGGTCTATTGGCATTTTTGTAACCATGCAACGCTAGAAACCCCCGCACCATTGTTAATCGGTGTGGAATAAACTAATTCTACTATACAGCTATTTCGTACTTTTTGCATACTCTTCAGCATGGCTTAGACTCTGGGACAACTAACGAAAGCATAGCAATTGTCCTATGTTCAACATATGAGATCTAACGAAATAAAACAGTGCAAGGCGCTATCTATTACCAGAATCGAACACTACAAGAGTGCATAGCAACTATCGGTCGGAGCTGTTAAGATCTTTTTTTAATAAAAACCGACACTCGTCTGGTTAAATTGCGACCATTGCTACATTTATCATTTTTTGAGCCGGGTTGTTTTTTTAGGGATACACCGAGTACTTGGTTTGTCCCCAGTTCTCGTAGTATTTTACCTAGTATCCGGTTTTGCCAAGCATTGAATTACTCACACACAGACACAACTTGTGTGAATCAAAGAATTGTAGATGCGATGTGCAAGAAATACTAATGCACCGTTAAAAAATCTTATATCTTTGCAAATCTTAACCGGAGTCAGACGCTTGATTTGGATGATTTTTTTTTCTAAATGTAGACTGTCCTCTGCTGTGAGTTTGTATTTTTACGGTATTAGCATAGTTTACCTTTTATATAGTGGGAATTACACGTTTTTCATGTAAAAAAACACTGTAGACGCATGGACTAGCTATGGCAGCTGTTTAAACTTCAATTCAATGCTATACGAATTGCCTTGTTTCATTTATTTTTCTTTTGAACACACCGGCGTCCAAAAATGGATTTGAAAGATCCTAGCGCCATCTATTACACAGTAGCAGAACCAAACATTCTAACTCTTTTAAAAATATATTTAAAAATTCTCACATATCGTGGTTGGATCTTACAAATCCCTTTTTGAGCGACAGAATACAGTATATCATTTTGTCTATTTTCAGGCAAAATACGTTAGCGTTAACATATGTGTTTCCCAAATTTGAATAGGTGCCGTCGCAACTTTAATTTCTGTGTCTATGAGGGCTCTGACGTGACAGCTATTTTATTGGCCTTTTTTAAATCAGGCAGCATGGAGGATGAAGTTTTCTACCTTCAATATAAAAATTAAGATCTAAAATGTCGAGCATATACGAGGGCTGTCCGATAAGTACTTAACATCACCGCACGATGGCCACAATATCGCTAGAGAAGTATACATTCTCGTAGACGGTTACTGTCAAAAGGCATCTCAAAAGACTGCAGTGGGTCATGTCTTGCATGAAATATTAGGCAAGAGAAAACTGTCTGTCACAATTGGAAAACATTTGACATTCAGAGATGTTTTCAATACTATCAAAACAAAATGGTTGTAAAATTTTTGACAAGTTCACAAAAGCTTCCCTTTTATTATTTATGAATGAGTATGAGACTTATGCATGGGAAATCCATCTTTAAATACTGAATTGACCATTTTCCTATTTTAAAAGTAATATTCGGGATAGGAGATGGCGTAAATAAAAAACAGTCAGTAAAACCAGTCAAATAGGCGTTTCTACTACAGAGAAATAAAAAAGCCGATTATATCCCAGGAATAATAATTATTTATCAATTCTTGGAAAATTTATTTGAATTACGAACTTATTAGATATGTTTTTGCTTCCACTACCCATTACAGTCTACAAATTTCAAGGAAGATATAGAAGCATGACATAGACATTAAAGAAATAGTCTAAACTGAGAACCCTTCTGACATTTTGACTAGTCATGCACCATAAAATTTCTTGGTGCACAAGCAATGCACCTAGTGAAAAATAATTTGCAATAATTTCCCCAGCGCCCAACACAATATTGGACAATATTAAGTCCAATAATAAATAGTGTATGAATAATGGAAAAGTGCATACCAGTGAACAATACTGTAATTCAACAGCTTATAAAATAAATAGCCAGATAAATGATTCAGAATTTAGCTTAATAAGCTAGCGCAATAAAGGATGATTTTCGGTCAATTTGTTATTAATGTAATTTTTTATATTCAGAAAAAATACTCAATATTTACAATATAGGACCTTCAGAGTTGAGCAAGAATATGGGTATCCTGATCGTCTGGATATCAATGCTGGAGTACCTCAGTGATCTAGGTCCAGATATTCCTGCTATGACCAATGTAACAGTTGCAGTATTTGCAAATTGATTGCAACTGGCAAAGATCTACTAAGTTCTGTTAGTAAAGTACAGACTGCTACCAATAATTTAGTGAAACGGACCCAGAGGTGGAAGATCAAAGAGACCGAATTGAAATCAATCCACATTTGCTTTATAAAACAAATATTGATAAGTCCTCCTCAAATAAGCATTAACAGCACCATCATACCAGTGGAACCAATTACCAAATATTTAGGCATGACCCTTGACACCATGCATTCAATAATAAAAGCATGACCTATAATCCGATTTTAAAACCAGTGTGGCTCTATAGTTTCCAATTATGGGGCTGTTTCATATAAATATAGAGATTAATTCGCAATTTGATGGTTATTGACGAGATCAAACAAGTAGCGGCCACGCATGAAGAAAAGCTCCATGTACCAGGGCGGTCCGATAGGTACTTAGCCTCATCGCCCGATGGCGCCACTATCGCAAGAGAAAATTTATTCTCGTAGACGGTTACTGTCAAAATTTCAACCGAATCTGACTCATAGTTTTGTTGTGACTGCGTGGGGAAGCGAACGTGTCCACGGATTTTAGAAAAATGTAAAAAAAGTAATATCGGCGGTCGGTGATTCGATTCCTGTGTTTGCAAGGAAAGTCGCGCAGCGAAATCAAAAAGCGCCTGGATGCAGTGTACGGTGACTCTTCTCCTTCCTTGGTTTAACGAGTTTCAACGTGGTCGCACGTTGGTTTTTGATGAGCCACGACTCGGTGCCCCAAAAGTGGCTGCCAATCCTAAGGAGTTTCTGCGTCGTTTTGTGACTGTCGACGAAACATGGGCCCACTGGCACACACCAGACACCAAGGAAGAGTCGAAACAGTGAACTTCACCCAGGAAACATGCTCTGAAGAAAGGGAATATTGTCACAAAGTGTGATCTACACTGACTATCTGAAGGACCTAACAGTCACAGAGCTCTCCTATGCCAAATTATTGGGCCAATTTCACGCCGAATTGCAGAAGAAAGGGCCCCATTTGGCGAAGAAAGAAGTTGGACCATTGCTGGGTCAAGTGCATGTTGAGAGTTTAATTGCCACTTTTCAAAAATTTTCATTTTTCTTTTGTAGGGTAAGTACTTATTAGGCCAGCCTTCAGCTGCTGAAGAACTACATGCTTTTTGATGATTATAGAGGTCCAAACCATTTGAACTTGTGTAGTGTTTTGTGTCTAAAGCAGATCATGTGCACGAGTTCCTGGTAACAGTATTAATTATGCATTAAAATAATCTAAAGGACATCAATGGATTGCCTCTAGTGATAGGTATCAGTTGTAAGAGGACACAGGAAAATTAATGGTTAAACTGATCATTTTTAATATTTGGGCATCAAAGCCACTCTAAAAAAAAATATTTACAATCAATATGACATTACTATTACTTTTCAACCAATTATAATTGTTGTCATAGCATGTCTTATAAGATAAAATTTCTTATGTTGAAGGTCACTACACTTTCAATTTAGTTGGTTTTCAAATATTAGATAAATTAAACTGGGTTAACCATACACTTACCTTTTTGAATCACATTAAAAATTCAGGTTACAAAACTACCTATATAAAAGATGTGAGATAATCAAAGAAGCATTTTTTAAAAATGTGATAAAAAATAAATTCTTTTGACCTATTGTATTTCTAATAAAAGACAATCATTTGTGGTCTAGATTTGAGTCTATAGATCATAATTTTCCTTTTTTATTATAGTGTCATGCATCTTATGAAGTATTTCATAAATGATATTTCAATATCCCATTTTACTGAACATGCAACTAACTGCAGGCACTCTATGTTTATTTGTTTTGTTCGCGAATAATTATATTTTACAAATAAACATTATTATATTACTATTATGCTTTCAAAAGGCTAATGTAACATAGATATGTGCTACAATTTAGCACTTTTCTCACATGTAAATGCTTTCATACCTACAGATATTATGGAACTTTATCAATACGTAGCAGCCATATAAAACTTAAGTGAAACCATAAACTTACAAGGCTTGTTTTTCATGATATTAGTGACCATAACTACAGTATGCTTACAATATTAACTTACCTCTATGTCGAAGTCCAAGAGATTAAAAGCTGTTCGAAACAGTGAACAGAAGTGAGCTATGCTTGGTACCTCCCACCATGACTGTATATCTTAAATAATATTGAATTGTTATTACACCTATAGAATCTATTAGGCTCAATAGAATGTAGATAAAACGTTAAAAACTGTAAACACACCTAGGATGCTAATGAAAGTTGGAAACATAACCTATTTGTAGATCAATACATACAACGACGTAAATATACGGCTTCGGTTCCAGTTTATTTTAAATCGTCTTATTTTCCACAGCAAACCTTTGCTTGCAAAAAACCACATCTAGTGAACTCCGTCGATTTTTTGTTTTTCAGCTTCATTTGTTTTACCAAATAAACTTGATAAATAGGCTTCCCTTTTCATTTCCCTTCACTTCTCACTTTCTTCATTTTAATTCAAAAGATACCAACAAAAGACCCACAAAGTAGCATCAACACCCTAAGTTTGACGTATGACAAGTGATATCTAATTCCGCTTTTCGTGACGTGAGTTTTGACGAACGTCAACCAATCAAGGACAGAATGATTCATCACGTTCAGGCCATTTGTTCACTAAACCACACCTTATTTCCATGGTTGGGAATTGTGAGCGGCATATCAAGGAATGTCAGATTGACCAAATGAACACAAGGATGCTTACTTACTTGAAGACCACTTGAAACCACGCCCTGTTTCCATTCTGTACAGTTTGATTTGACAAATCTCAAGTGTTTGGTGTATTTCTTAAGTGTGGCAACGTTGCTGGTGGTCTTGCAAAGTTGCAAATTGCAAATTTTAACCTTTGCCTCTGCCATGGTATGCATGTTTTGACAATTATTGTTTTGACATGCTTATCTTGTAATCTTTCGGTAATCCCAATATCCCAAAGTTGTGATAATTTCCCTCATTAAATAAGGTGTTTTATTCAAGTTTATTTCAGTAGCTTTCTTATACTTACTGTAACTGATACGAGTTTTGCTGGTGATAATGGATAAGGTATCAAATATTGTTATAAAGTCTTTGGAACAGTCCAAATACATCAAGCCACTTACAATGCATTTTACTCAAAACGGAACAAATAGAACCTGGGACATATTGTCTGTCCATGACAGTGTAGCGATTGTTATATACAACATCACAAGGAATGTACTAGTCTTGGTGAAACAGTTCCGACCTGCAGTCTATTTTGGATGTTTAGCTGAAGAAGACAGAAAAGTAGGGGCTACAGTTGACACACAAAAGTATCCACCAGAAATTGGAATCACATTGGAGCTATGTGCTGGGATTGTAGATAAAGCAATCGCAGAAATTGAAATAGCAAAAGAAGAAATACTTGAAGAATGTGGTTATGATGTTCCAGTAACAAATTTGGTCAAAATTGGGTCATACAGATCTGGTGTAGGCACCAGTGGTTCAAAACAAGTTTGTTATTATTGTGAAGTCACAGATGAAATGAAGGTGTCATCAGGAGGAGGTGTGGATGATGAAATCATTGATGTTATAGATATGAGTATAGATGATATAAAGAAGTACATCAGTGGCGAAAACATCAAGAGCCCACCTAGTTTCTTGTTTGGGATATATTGGTTTTTATATCACAAAGTAAAAAAAGAACCTATTTTTCTATAATCCAATGTAAACTATTTAAATTATTTACCAAGTACAAATAAATTTTATCTATATTCTCTTTATTTACTTTACTCAGGCCATGAGCATTATTTTAATACATTATCATGTTATCTATTTTGCAAATCTCTCTAATACTGCAACTCTAGTATAATGTTATATAAACGATTCTTAGTAAATGTAGATAAAAATTAATAACTCATTTGATTTTTAAAAATATAGTTTCAATTAATAGGCAGTAATTATTTATTAATAAAAAACAATTCTGACAGTGGAAACATATATTTGTAAAAACGTTTATAAATATTTCTTCAGTGGGCATGCAAACATTTTTTAATATATAGTTTTTACTGGAAAAATATTGTCATATAAAATATAGATCAAATAAAATGTGTCCCTAATTTCAATACTAGTTTTTGCTACTTAAGTGTTATCAGACATTTTATTTTACTTTTATGTCAAAATGTTTTCTCAAAAATATTGCTTCTATAGCCTTATCTGCTAGCATAAAGTAATATTAACCACTATACAATCTGTATATTGAATGCCTACTTCTCACTTAATAATAATCTTCAGTTGTATGGTCTATAATATCTATCATTTTGTCTTCTATCTCTTTCAGTTCCCCTATAATAACTTTGCTGATTGGGTGAGTGTCTGTTCCTATACTGATCATTTCTACTTGATCCTGGTCGTTCTCTATTGTTGAACCTTCTGTTATTCCATGGATAAAACACAGGTGGTGTAGGAATGCCAGATTCGTATATTTTCATGTAAGCAAGATCTGAAGAGGTGAAACGATCAGAAAACTCCAATTTACATTCATCAAGAAATTGTTTCTGCTCTTTGGTTAAAGACTCTGCTTCTGAGGACATGCTAGTGGTTGTCTAAAAAGAAAATGGTTCACCGCTACTGGAATGAGTATTCTCTATTTTCTTTTTCTATTGTTACCGAGATATACTTCTGCCACAGCTTTTTCTGGTTTCAGAGTGTACATATGGGAAAGTGCTCGATTATAAAGCACAATGAAATACTCTCAACAGTTCTACCACAAAACATATACATATACACGGAAGACGGAAGTTCTACTTCACAACGGAAACTATTCCTTCCACAGGGGGGTGAAACGTCTTAAGGGCGAACTGTCAACACCAAGGTCACTCTCTCCAGGCACAAAACACATAAATCTCCAGGCAAAATCTAGGACACTTTCTTACCATCAGAGTTTGTTTTTTGACAAACGACAGTTTGACTTTCCCTGGGAATTTCCATTTTGTTTTCAATCTGTGTTTTGAATTGGGTCAGCCAAACATTAAATTTTTAATTATTGATTTAATTCCCAATCGAGAAATTATCATTCATAATCTTCATATAATAATAGTAACAATAACCTTTGTCATATATTTTCCAATGTAAAACACTTGTGATTGTGTGCAGGAATACTTAAGATTGCATACTTCAATAAGCTTGTTTTTCTTTTGTAAGTCAGTCATGTCTGGATTTGGGGTTACCTCTTCGTACATCGTTACTTTAAAGTATACATGTAAATATTCTTCTTGCAAAAATTCATATTTCCACATTGTTCGAAAATATTGTATATACAAAAATAAAGTATTCCATTGTTTACCAAAAGATGAAAGAACTGTTGCTGCATGGAAGGCAACTTGTAAGATATCTCTCACTCGTAAAGGTTCCTATTATTAAGTGTGTGAGGATCATTTTTCAAGTAGTAATCCGCAAGATCCTTCACGTCACAGATATCTAGCCATACCAGTGTCCCCCAATACAGTTTCAAATTCAAATAATAGTCATCCTACTAAACCAGGTCCCAGGGAGACGCTACCACAATTCCAACCCCTTCTGAGCAAAATGAAAATTCCAGTGTTATTCTGGAAGATCAAAACATTGAAATCAGTGGAAGCGGTTCTAGAACAGAATCTAATTATTTAGATAGATATTCTTTTTTGTTAGAGAAGGGCTCTGGCATATTAACAAAATGTGGTACATCAAAGAAGGAATTGAGCCCTAAGGAATCAATTATGTATAAAGTCCACAGGAATGTTTGTTCAAGGCTCTCCAAATTTCCATTGTCGCTGGGGTTGACAAATCAAACTACTTCAACTATGGAGAGATCTTAAGGAGAAAGACTTGAAATATCTTTGTTTGAGAAAGATTCCCTGTAAAATTTATTTGGTCAAGTAAGACAGCATCGTACCTTCAATACAAATCCCACCTGTCATCAGTTGTTGCTGCCTTAAAAACAGTAGTTATTAATAATTTCAGCACACCTTTTTTAGAGCAACATGGTAGAGAAGACCAGCTGGAAGTTAAATTTAAATGGAAGTATTCCTGCATCCTTCAAAATTACAGCTCTTGTCAGCAGCAATATGTAAAGAGAAATTCTTTGAAAAGGAGTGGTGAAACTACTAATAGTCATATATCAACAAATAAGAAATTCAAGACAGTTAAAGTCAGGTAATGCTTTTTTATGTAGTCCAGCACTCATCAGTCATTGAATTTTCTATCTACTTTCAGTAACCAAATACTACTGTGATATTATACCTAAACAATATATTTTTTTTTTGTTTCATAGTTGCAGCATCCTTGGGAGGGAGCAGTTGGACGAAGAATAATTATTTATTTTGTTACTCCCTGTAATGTTAAAGCTATCAGGAGCTTTTGGTTTTAAGTATGAGGAATGCCTTGTTTAGTTTTAACTGTGACTCCTTCTTTGAAGAATATTTTCATCATTTTTACACTATAAAAAATAATGTTTTCTCAGATTATATTTTCATTTTAGTTATTTATTTAATGACAGAGATTTATTTTTTATAGTTTTAGTATGAATGTTTACGTTTAAGTGATAAATATACCTCATGATGGATTAACAATAGGTAGTGCTTGCTAAACACTTCCTTTGATTACTGAGGGTCCGTTTTTATCGTTTTTTATGCCACTAACGTATAATTTGTATTTTTTTTTTGAAACATCACTTATTTACTTAATAATATAGAGAAAGCTCCGGATGTCTAAAAATACTTTTATATATTGTCAATGTACTGTGATGATAAATTATTACTTATTATTAATATTTAACTATTTAATGAAAATTTTATTGCGCATTTATTTTTTATTATCCTAAAATTGGTTTCCAGCAAAACTGCTGAATTAGGTATTTCCTTTATTGAGGATATTTTATGCGTCTATGCTCATAAAATATTTCTTCAATATGGGAAATATCACTTTCAGCATATTTTAAATTGTAAACAAACTAAATCCGCGGCACATTCCTAATCTCCCGGCGCATTCTTTGAATTCCTTCGATAGATCCTCCAGATCTCCAGGCAAGTAGTCGGTGCAACCATCTGACACAACGTCAACGGTGTTACCGTTGTTTAACGTGCAGCTCCCACTTCTACAGTGTTTTGTGTCCTTCCGTATGGAGCACAAAACATATACACTGCTGCCGCCATTTTTTCTGCATTCTTACAGTGTTGTCAGGTTGTGTCCGGCAACACCGCACTGTTTCCCATTCCCCATATGAGTTGACTCGTGTTGACTCCCCGTGGGCCGTGGGTCACGGTCACATCACATCACTTTCTGTCAATACCTTGCTTTCTCTGTTCTCAGATATTTGAGTGCCGTGTCACTGTGAAATTTGATCTTTTCACAATTTTTGTGTTCAGTTTCTGGTGTGGTGTTTATTTTGGGTTTTCCAGTAATTTCTAATTTTTTTAAAGCAAATAATGTGACTGAAATTTTGATTACTCAGAGTAAGGTAAAATGAAGAATATTCAATTTAGCTTTTCAATTGATATTGTAATGAATTCTTAAGTGGTATTTTATTACCATTGTAGTTTTTTATTAATGAAACTGTATACTAGGTCAATTTCCAATTTAAATCCATAACAATGGCTAAGTCCAGTTACAGGTAATTAAGTAAAAACTTTCTTGTGCCCACATATAATAATAGTATCATTTTATTAGCAAGGTGGATGAGTATGGCTTTGAACGTTCAGAAAATTTCAACTATGAATCATATGATGCATTTATGTCAGATTATATGAGAGTTCTGACTCGGAGAGCTCAAAGATGGAATGCATTAGAGAACAATATTTTTAGAAATACATCTGTCCTAAAGAGATTTATCAGAAAAGGAATACCTATAGATCGACGAACAGATGTATGGATGAGAATATCTGGAGCTGATAAAATAAAACAAAATAGCCAATATTCATATAGTTATATGAAAAAACAAATCCACAATAAAGCCATCATTGAAACTATTAAGATTGATTTACCACGTACATTTCCAGGTAAACATTCAATTAGATTTTTATGAAATGAAAATTACAGTCATTAGCTATAGCAGCTTATTGCAGTATATTATTTTATTTGCCAATATGAGCTTCAGATTACCAACAGAAACTTAATTTTTCTTTAACATTTTCCAGATAATATATATTTTATTAGCAATGAAGCATTACCAGAAATGCTATTTGGAGTTTTAGCTACATTTGCACACCAAAATAAAGAAGTAGGTTACTGCCAAGGGCTTAATTATATTACAGGTAACTATAAACTATATTTATCTAATTTTAAACATTTGATGATAAACATGTTAGAATGTTTGCATGGGTGCTTGCCAGAATTTTCTGTGAAAGTGTACCTATCCCTAAAGCTTTGAGGAGGGAGTAACAAATATTCTCGGGGGAGGAAATCAAATTCCAAAAATCCACAAAATAGTACACAAACAAATGCTAAATACCCAAATTTTAAGGTCCAACTCAATTTTCAGGGGCACCCCTTTCCTGCAGGCAGCCATGTTGTTTATTAGCTTATTCCTATTTTCTAGGTTTACTACTACTAGCAACCAAAGATGAAGAGTCCTCATTTTGGTTACTTAAAGCTATAGTTGACCAAATTCTACCTCAATATTACATAAGTACAATGACTGGTTTATTGACTGACCTTGATGTACTAGATGACCTCATAAGTAAATATGAGCCTGTAGTTTCTAGACACATAAAAGCCATAGGTATGCCAAGTATTGAATATGAAAATATAGACAAGGATAATCCTTCCATATTTTCTCTTCAACTGTAACCCTCATCAGCTTCTACAGTTCCACAGTCATCCAAAGAGTAACTACATTTATTTTTTAGGCATGCCATGGGCAATGGGAACCACAAAGTGGTTCATATGCATATTTGCAGAAGTATTGCCGACTGAAACAGTGTACAGGATTTGGGATTGTCTATTCTATGAAGGATCTAAAATTATTTTTAGGGTAGCTATTACACTCATCAGACTGCACAAACCAGAAATTTTGGGAGCTACAGAGCTTGGTGAACTAATGATGTGCTTCAAAGCAATGAGAAGTAGTGAGGCTGTGATAGATTGCCATCAATTTATGAAAGTAAGTTTATTAATCCATGTTCTGAATTAAACTGTCATTATTGATAAAAAAAATCGGATCTTTATGACAAAGAATGTGTACTTACCACCATTTTTGTTTTTAGGATGTGTTCAAGCTCTCTGGGAACTTATCTAAAAATTCCATCCAGAAATTAAGAGAAAAGTATAAAAAGTAATGCACCTGATCAAGGCAAATGATCTATTTATTTATATATAATTATAAATATTATAAAGAAATTTATATACAGCTTTATACATTTATCTAGTCTTATTGTTTACTGTTTTACAAATAAAATTTGTAAAATAATTTGTTCACCAAATGTTTCATTTTACAAAACTACATTTATCACATTTCTAGAAGAGGCTGTCATTGAGAAAAACTATTTATTTTTCTCCAAGAAATCTTTGGCCTCATTGATTTTGGAAGCAATGTAAGGAGAGCCTCCTCTATCAGGATGGTTGGCTGCCATAACTTTTTTGAAAGCTTCCTTGATCTTTTGCTTGTTGGCTGAGGGACTCACTCCTGATGAAAAAAATCATAATATAAAATTTGTAATTTATGTATAAATATTCAAATACACCATTCATAAAAAAAATATTCTGAAAAGTTGAATATCACAATGTTTTGCAAAAGCAAAATACAGCAGCAAGGATTCACACAAAAATATTCTTACAGATTAATCTCGCTACAGACAGTAATTGTAAATCAGGTATATTAATAATGAAATGATATATCTGTACCTCAGAGCCAGACTAGGTTAAGTCCAAATAAGTAGTTTTGAGATAATTATAAATGAAATATTTGCATTGTATTGAATATGACTTGATATGAGTTAAAAAGTTGTAACTTCCTTATTATTAAAGATAGATGGATGCTGCATGTAGCAAATGAAAATTCACAATATTATTATAAGTTTAACATATTAAACTCATTTTTGACAAAAATGGATTTAACCTAGTCTGGCTCTGGGGTACAGATATAGGGATTTGGTGGTTTAAAAGGGTTTCATAATGATTCAAATAAGGAACTTACCCAAGATCATTGAGGCTTCCCTACGATTCATTTTGGGATCAAATCCACCTTTGTAGTACTTTGAATTGGCAGCATCAAACTTAGGCAGGCTCTTAATCGCATCATTGAATTGTTTGGCTGCCTGTGGCATCTGCCGAAGGGCGTATCTACCAGCGAATCCCACAGCCGCCAGGCCAAGACCGGCCAATATAACACCATTCTGAAATAAGAAACTTGCCTACATCCCATATGTACGTATATAAAAAAACATCTCAGAAAATGTCATTTTACTGACTTACCATTTTTATAAAAGGCTTGAACTGTGAATTTAGTTTGGGACCTATTTTGGATTATGCGTATGTATTTCCAATAATTTCCAGATTTTATTTTAAAAATAAAAACTTGACAGTACATTGACACTTATCAGTAGAGTTGACAAGTTGATCATGGAAAAGTATGAAAGAAGCAGGATTACAGTCGGACCAAGAAGACTAGAACAAACAGGAGGATAAAAACGCGGTCCCATCATATGGCGACCACAATAATGGTGGTAATAATAATAATCTTCGTAGGTCTTGATACAAAAACAATAAAAATTCATGAATATAGTCGCCAATAAACACAAATCAACAAAAAAGTGAAAATGTACACATTGGAGCTTGAACTTAAAATATCTACAGTAGATATAACATATTTTTGTATAGGTAGTGTGATCAAATGGATAAATGCGTATTTTTAGCTATAGTATTACATAAGTATTGATGATAAGCCCTCGTGCTTGTGTGGCCAATAGAACCACACATATTGACGGACCTTTACTGTAGTAAACCTAAACGACAATAAACTGCTGTCTTGATTCGGGTCTAAAGGCCGTCGTAGGTTGGAATTTCTTCCTAACGTTTCGCTAGCACGAGTGGCAAGCTTCTTCAGAGGTCCTGCCATTTCCTATGCTGGATGTAGAGTCTATGGGGCCTCTCCGTACGAAAAAAAAAATGCATAAGGTGTTTTTCGCAATCTCTCTTCTTGTTTTTACAAGTTTTTATCCAACTTGATCTGTCTATATGTCAGTATGTTAGTCTGGAACTGGAACTGAATGTTGAACCAGTTAACCTTGACCAATTGACCTAAAATATTGTACAACCGTTTGGTTAACTGCCGCCATTTTGATTCCAATATGGCGGATGCTATAAAATGTCCTAACGACCATAATGGACGTTTATAATTTTAAATTACGCACTTAATACATATATTTGATTAGCCTGATTGATTTTACCTAAATTACGCTGCCACAAGACATCCTCTCGATAACTGTAAACTTTTTTGGTCCTTACCATAGTAGTTAAAATTTCAGGAAACCAAAAAACGCAAACGCAATGGCACTTTTCAATAACTATTAGGGCGGTGAGGATTCAAAACTAAATTAGTATATTGCTGAAAATATAGACAAGTAGGCATTCTGCATACGAATAATCAGATTATATTTTCAATACAGACGCTATTCAGTTATATTAAATTCGTATGTATGGAACCAATTTTACCACGAATTTCATATATATTGAGCAACATTTTAAATCAGTTTTGAATCTCCTTGTTTGATGCTCGCCTCCTTAAGTAAGTATTACTTAGTATATAACGATTACCACCTGAGGTTCAATTAGATAGTGTTCTCAAAAAATGTTTATTAATGCAATAATTGTTTTCAATCCTTGATCACAAAACTGAGGTGTTATTTGTCCGCGGCATAGTAACTCCCAATCATATGAAGCGTATTTCCTTTTTCTCTTTTTGTCTCAGAGACAACTTATGAGAGTGTTCTCAGCTATGATGTAAGAAAATCTCTTCAACCATTTGAAATCGTTTTCTTAACCCTCCGGCGAGCGCGCTATCGGCACTTCATGCCGTCTTTCCACTATATTAAGTTTTTGAAAATAAATATTGGCTAAATCTCCTTACCCGTCTACTATGCTCAAATTACTATACTAGTTATATCCGTTAGCCGAATATCTCCTTCAGAATGGACTGACGTTAATTGGTACCATGAAAAAAAAAAACAAAAAAGAAATTCCACCCGATTTTCTACCAAATACTACACGTCAAGTAGGAACCACTTTATTCGGGTTTCAAGATAATATGACTCTAACCTCTTATGCAAGCAAAAAGAATAAGGCGGTAGTCTTATTGTCAACAATGCAAGATGCAGGTGAAATTGATGACACCACTAAAAAGCCACAGATCATTTTGGACTACAATAGAACAAAATGTGGCGTTGATACCGTGGACCAGAAATGTGCATCTCACACAACACAAAGAATTACTAGAAGATATGGCCCCTTACAAGTTTTAATCGAATGCTTGACATTGCTGGAATAAATTCTGAAATTGTCTATAATCATACTAAGCCTTTGGCAGATCCTCCTAGAACACGTATTTTTCTAACCGAATTAGCTTTTGAGCTGTTTGCGGATCATCTAAAAGATCGAGCTAAAAATTCAGCGCTTCCCAAGGATATAACAGCATTTCTTTCAAAATATCGTACAGTGCCTGAGACTGAGGTAGCATTTACCAGAAATTCCAATGGACGGTGCCATATTTGCAGCTCTAAAAAGAACAACAGAACCACAATTGTAGGGCACCTTTATGGCCTCCTTGATTGTCATAGTTTTCTACTTCCCCGTGTCAGCGCTATATTTTGAGGTTATGTCACAAACATCTATTTGCATCAAATTGTGCTTGCTTTTGAGTTATATCATGTTTTATCAGCCTGAAATTTCCTACAATTTAAAAAGAAAACATATCTTCAATTTCTAGATTACACTTGACCCGTGTCAGCGTCAGCGCTCTCCTATTGTGAAGATATGTTTTCTTTTTAAATTGTAGGAAATTTCAGGCTGATAAAACATGATATAACTCAAAAGCAAGCACAATTTGATTCAAATAGATGTTTGTGAGATAACCTCAAAATAGAGCGCTGACAGGGAGAAGTAGAAAACTATGACAATCAAGGAGGCCATAAAGGCGCCCTACAATTGTAGGGACGACTGACGATACGGGCCTTAGACCGTTACCTGTCAAAATTGTATGCTTACTGAAGTAGAAGATTAAGAAGATTAGGAAGAAATAATGGATTTTTTTGTTTTTGTTAAAAATAATGTTTGTTTTGTTAGACTTGACTTTCATTTACATTTTATTTTCGTAATATTTTAGAATACAGGATTTCATATATTTTTTTAGAACTACGATTTTTTTAAACTGTATTATTAAATAAATTTGGATGTTTTGATATTAATCCGTGCGTTTTTCTTCTTGCGGCATGTAGTGCCGTAGCGCGCCCGCTCTTGTGATTTTTAAAAGCGCGCCTGGCGGAGGGTTAATTTGAAGTTTATACTTGTTCTTTTCTAAGACACCATGCCAAATTCGTAGCGACCTAACAGAACACTGACTATCCGTAGTCATACTTTCTGTTTTCAAATCATACATATGCACATACATTTGAATTCAGATAGAGATATAAAGACACGTCATAATACGAAGCGATGCGATTTTCTAAAAGAAAAGGCAAGTTAATTAGTCCTAATGAATTCTTCAGGAGTTTTTTTGCACCGTTCATTCATCACTGCACATATATATGTATATAAGACGAGGATAATCATTTGCTGTAATTAATTGCCCGAGTATCTACGGTGCAAGCAAACTAAGGTGTCTACCTCTTTAATAACAGTGGAAAAAACATTTTTAACGGACCGAAAATCAGTGAACGTTGCCAATGTATTCTGATTAAATAGAGCGGTGTATCTTCAGCTCGTGCGGTTATATAGTATTTCATTATATTCATCTTCAGTTCATGTTCAGTGCCCGAGGAATTTGTGCTAGCTGGTGCTTTGGACATATTTGGTAAGTTTAAGAAACTTTTCAGTGATTATTCTTGATATTTTAAAAACCGAAAAATGTTTTTTAAAATAACCTGAGTCGTTTCTATTTTGTGAAACATCAATTAGCTTTAAAATTATTTAGTGTTTACTTGTAGGAAAAATATTCGTATGGATTGAATACTCACGGATTACCACTTGAAAAGCACTTGCTTCCTTGTTCCTATAGTTATTCCTAAAATCATTATAATATACTATGTACTTACAATTTTTGGGTACGGGATAGCTAATTCGTGTGATCTGATGATAAAAAGTGCGATTTGAATAGATTTTAGTCGTCTTATCAAAATCCACGGGATGATATAGCTCAGGATAATGACATCGTTTACCACCTATAATAATCGTCTAATTTGAAAAATTGAAACCGTTCGAAAATTATTTGCGATTCGATATACAGGGTGTTTCAGTTTATTGTTGCATAACTTTAAGATTCGATAGAAATTTTAAAATTAATGCATAAAGTCTATATAAACATGGGTCGAAAAATGCGTGGCTTCCGAAATACAGGGTGTTTAAATTTACTTTTTAAAATAGTTTTTTTTTAAATATTTCGACCAATATTTTATGCATAACAGTGAAAATTGGTATACAAGGGTTTCCTGGTACAACAAAACGAACCATGGGCATAGTTTTACTGTAGCCGCTAGAGGGCGCTCTCTACTGTACCTGTAGTGTATTAAAATGAGCGAAAAATTTTTCTTAGTGCAATTTTTGCTTTTTGAATAAAAAAACTGATTCCTCGCACTTTTCTGCATAAAAAAGCTCTCCTGTAAGTTTTCGTTATAGTTAGCCGTTTTTGAGATATTCCGATTTTTAAGGTTCGATGCATTTTCAATTATTTACGGGAAAATAATTTTTTTTTACATTTTCGATTTGGGCATTATAAGTAATTGAGATGATCGTTTAGATTGTGTTTTTAAACACAGCAATAATTCCTAACTCCAAATAATATTAATTTGTTTAATTTTCCAATATTATTTTTAACAAATTAAATTAATTATTTACAACTAAAATGCTATTGGATAGTTAGGAGAAACATACAAAATCTAAAGTAGTTGCTCGAAATGTAAACCTAATTGTTCAATACACAATTCACATCTACGAATGATCGAACGTGGTATAGCATTATTCAAATAAGGCCTTATTTCATCACATGCATTCCTGATTCTGTCTATTAGCATATCTCTTGTGGTTACGGGAGTCTGGTACACTTTTTCTTTTAGAAATCCGCACACAAAGAAATCTAATGGATTTAGGTCAGAGGATCGTGGAGGCCAGGCGACTGGTCCTACACGGCCGATCCATCTTTCTGGATAATTTTCGTCCAGCCAGTTTCTAACTATTCTCGAATAATGAGCTGGACAACCATCAAGCTGGAACCAGGCCAATCTTCTTAAATCTAACATAACATCATCCCACATATTTGCATGTTCAGCCTTTAAAAATTCCAAGAAAGTCGCAGCATTTAACCTTGCAGGCAAAAGGTAGGGTCCAAATAGTCGACTACGGTAGATACCAATCCACACGTTCACACTAAATTCATGCGGAAAATTTCTTTCCCGAACTGCACGCGGATTTTCATGCGACCAAATATGTTGATTATGAAAATTTACCACTCCACGTCTAGTGAAGCATGACTCATCGGTCCATAAAACGTTACTTAAAAACTCCCTATTATTATCAGTTCTATCAAGAATCCACTGACAAAATGTGATTCTTCGTTCTCCGTCCCCTGGCTGTAGTCTTTGCACAGGTTGCAAATGGTAAGGACGTCTATGGTCATTTCTAAGAACATGGTGAACATGGCTTGATGAAATTTCCAAGGCACCAGAAACTCTCCTAACACTTGTGGTCGGATCTCTATCAAACTCACGCAGAATTATACGAGTCATTCTGCGCTGACGAACATTTATGTTTTGATCCCTTTGGAGATTTCCAAAACTATTTTCAATTATTTGGCGATGCACTTTTATAAATACTGAGCGAGTTGGATGTCGTCTGATTCGAAATCTTCGTGCGTATTCTCTGGCTGCTTCTGCTGCGTTTCCATTTACAAAGCCATACACAAAATGAATATCCGTTAACTCTTGATTGGAGAATAAAAATGGCATTTTTATAAAACTTACAAAAAAAAAACAGGTAAAAGAAACTAAATTTCGTGCATTCACAATTGCAAAAAAACGTTTCAGGTTTCAACAGACAACAAAACTAACTGTCAACTAATTGACGTTTAACCTTATTCTGCTTTCAATTTCAAAAATAAATATCAAATATAAATAAAAATTATCGAGATACTGATTTTTTAACGTTATTTTATCATAAAAAACGGCTAACAATAACGAAAATTCACAAGAGAGCTTTTTTATGTTGAAAAGTGCGAAGAATCAGTTTTTTTATTCAAAAAGCAAAAAATTGCACTTAGAATTTTTTTTCGGTCATTTCAATACACTACAGGTACAGTAGAGAGCGCCCTCTAGCGGCTAAAGTAAAACTATGCACATGGTTCGTTTTGTCGTACCAAAAAACCCTTGTATACCAATTTTCACTGTTATACATCAAATATTGTTCGAAATATTTAAAAAAAACTATTTTAGAAAGTAAATTTAAACACCCTGTATTTCGGAAGCCACGCATTTTTCGACCCATGTTTATATAGACTGTATGCATTAATTTTAAAAGTTCTATTGGATCTTAAAGTTATGCAACAAAGAAATACAGGGTTATTACAAAAGAATCATCGCGTTTTAAAAATATATATTTCTGAAGGTATTACAGATATAACAGTAAGTGACATGTCAATGGAAAGGTAAAATATTCGAGATTTTAAGCATGTTATTACAAATGTTCGATGTGGGCTCCTTGCGTCACACGACATATGTCCAAACGATAGTCCACTTCGGCCCATACACGCTGCAATGTGTCTCGATCGATATTGTTAATAGCAGTAGTAATGCGTTCCCGGAGTTGACCCAATGTTGTTGGCAGAGGTGGTATGTAATCCATATCTTTAATGTAACCCCAAAGATAAAAATCGCATGGTGTAAGGTCGGGAGACCTGGGAGGCCACGCGAACAATACCAAATCTTGTGCAGTACCTCGGCCAATCCAACGGTGAGGCAGTGCCTCGTTTAAATACCGACGCACCTCATGATGCCAGTGAGGCGGAGCTCCATCTTGTTGGAATATGAAGTTGTTAGAATCTTCTGTAAGTTGCGGAAATAACCACAAATGCAACATATCTAGGTAGGATGAACCGTTCACAGTGTTTTCATGAAAGAAAAAAGGACCGTACACTTTATTTTTGGATATTGCACAGAAGACATCCAATTTTGGAGAATCCCTTTCATGTTGCACAATCATATGAGGATTTTCCGTGCCCCATATCCGAATGTGATGACGGTTCACCCTTCCACTTAAATGAAATGTCGCTTCGTCGCTGAATACCAAACAGTTAGCAAATTCGTCGTCTTCCATTGCCTCCTGCATGATAGAAGAAAAATCAAGTCGCTTTACGTGGTCTTCAGGTCGTAAGCTTTGTAGCATCTGTAACGGTACGGTTTGAATCGCAATCGTTTCCGCAAAATTTTCCATACGGTTGGCTGGGGAATACCAAGTTCAGTTCCTGCTCTGCTAGTGGACTGTCGCGGAGAACGAGAAACTTTGTCTAACTGCGTCCACCATTTCGTCAGGAACTCGTGGTCTTCCGGTACTTTTACGTTTAGTAATTAATGGAACCTGTCTTCTTGAATTGTCGATACCATCGTAGAATGCTCTGATGACCTGGAGAATCAGTTCCATACCGCCGTCGGAATGTACGTTGCACTGTAACAACCGATAAACATCGCGCGTACTCTAACACACAAAACGATTCTGCTGCATAGTCGCCATTGGTCGCCATTTTGTATACTGAGCTCGTGGCGCTACCTAGGGAGGTAAAGCAGCGTTCGCAAGCACGTGCTTTAAACTCGAACATTTTCCTTTTCTAGTGATATGTCATTTGATATTATATTTGCAATACTCTCCGAAATATAAATTTTTAAAACCCGATGATTCTTTTGTAATAACCCTGTACATATAGTTGGATTTGTAAACTTGTGCCTATAGTTTATCGTGTGTGAAGTGCATTGTTGTGGGATATGAGAGATAAAAGTTACAGGGTCGTCAGCTAACCAGCTACATCGCAAACCTTTCTCGTGGAAGCAGCATTATTACTGCGCAAAATTCTTGATTGAATCTTATGGCAATTTTCAGTAATAATAATAATGTATAATCGTTGAGCTGGATACCAATGAAACATATATATAAAGGTATGCTTTATATTGTTTTTCCAAGGTATGCATGAATGAAGTGTGGTTGAATTTGTAGACTTATGTCTGCAGCTTATCGTGCAAAGCGCATTGTTGTGGGATATGGAAGACGTCAGTTACAGGGTGTTTAATTAACCCGCGACATCGAAAACATTTCTCGAGAAAGCAGAATTATTACTGCGCAAACACATTTCGAAAAAAAATTATAGTTTATCGGACGGAGGAACTTTCTAGCAATACTCCGTAATGTTAAGGCTACTTATACTTGTTATACAACTCGTCAATGGAACACCTAGTTACTTCTCTTTTCCATAACTGCGGTTCATGTAGAGTAAGCTAGAGACATTTTGTTTTAAAATCCTAACTCATTTGATCCACGTACGTTGTCGAAAAATTTTCTAAATTTCTGTCTTCTGAAAATGAATAGGTATGCACTATGGTGTGATGTATACAAATGTATTATAAAATATAGCATAGTGATATATCAGTATTATTTTTTTAGATTATTATTTTTAAAAATAATGAAAGTTTCATACCCCTGAACGATGAAATACCATGTATAATATTATTGACAAAAACAATATATTCTGTTCCAGATCTTTTAGACCAATCTGTACTTTATTCCCATTGTTGTGAACCCGCAGAATTGTTTATGCGTGGCATATGTAAATCAAGTGACGAGACTAAGTTTTATATTATCACCCTCGAAATAACTTCCTTCTGAAGCCACTCATTGCTGGAGACGGTTCTTCCTCTCCTCATAGCAGTGCTGGAAATCCGATCCTGGAATCGCCTTCAGCTGGTCGGTTACATCCGGTTGAATGTTCTCGAGTGTCAGAAAAAGAGTTTCCTTGAGGTGACTTTTCAACTTCGGGAAGATAAAAAAGTCACAGGGACTCAAGTCATGCGAATGAGGAGTCTGAGGAGCCACAGGAATGTTTTTACTGGTCAATACCTCGTTTATTGACATTGCTATGTGACAAGGAGCATTATCGTAATGCAACACCCACTTGTTCTTGCTCTGATGAACATTGGTGTGACTCAAAGTCAACTTTCCCGATGATTGTGGCGGTTAACCGATGATCTGAACGCACAAGATCCCGGATTCTTTCGATGTTTTCATCGGTTCTTGAAGATATGAAGGCCTTCGATTTCGTGGTTCATCTTCAATCGACTCTCTCCTTTGTGAAAATGATTTAAACCACCGAAAAACCTGGGCTCTTGACAAAACTATCGCCATAGGTCTGCTGAAGCTTAGCAAGAGTTTAAGTTGCACTACGCTTGTCAGAAGCAAAACCTCATAGCACACCCTTGCGCGAAATTGATGTTACTCATTTTAGAACACAACAGGAAAACTGTTCCACAAAAAAGCGACTTTAAACTTGTACTGAAGGCGAATCTCATGTTCCCCTGTCTCCCCTCCAATCCCGGTGCCTCCAGTTTTGCGAGATCGAACGCTAGGTTGCCATACTTATTGCTTAATTCACAGACCTAATATACACTGAGAACCAAATTTGTCTTATGGCTTGAGTTCAAGGTGTACGAGAGAGAAGTGTATAGATACATATGTTAGAAAGAGATGCATGTTGAAAATATGCGTTAGTTCATTCTCCCGTCCAAATAATGGTTTTATTTTGAGAGTACACATTTTTTAATGGTTTAGGATCAATTCCGGATCGGTCTTAACGGCGTTTCATTTTAGGTCGCAGTGAAAGGTCAGAAATGCAACTAATTCTGCAAACATTGCATCATTGGTACACTCGGCAACACCTCCATGATCAAAAATATATGAATGCTTTTGGTCAGTACCCATCTAGCGCTAAGTTCAGTAGGGAGTGTCGTCTTGCTTCGAAATGGTTTTCACCTGCGTACACGCAGGCAGTGATGATCAAATTATAAAAACACAAAGTATTGCGTAATGGTATTTGTTACATTTTCGACCGCTCGCTGCCGCCAAATGTAACAATAACTCAGGATGTGTTGATTTTATCACCATCGGTGGAAAATTTAGTTCTCCCTTCATGGACTAAATATCAGTGCTCAGATCCTCACATTTATGTAGTGAGATATGGTTGAAAATGCCCACAGAGAAGTAGAAAACTAAACTTCATGCAAGTCAAATCGACGGTAATCACTTTTGAATCTTCAAAAAACGTAGACACATGGCACCAAGCTCTGAAATCTAGCCAAGTTCTGAAATTCTTATCAACTAAAAATAATTATCTGTATATGATCGCTGATTTATGAAATGTCTAGTCAATTAGCCCAAAAATTACAATAGAAAGCTGCCGAAATATGATTATCAGTTAACTAATTATCACGAAACATGTATAATCTGAGTTTACACTACACATTCAATGCTTACATTAGTATCTGTTTAACTAAGTATTCTCGCAAGAAAAAATGTTCCGGATGTAACAGTTCTTCGATCTTGATCAGATGAGAAATTGAATATCACGAATACCTATACGTAAACATGCACGTTGATTGATAGATGATAATTATGGATCCTTTTTGTAAGTTTAAGAAATGTGCGAGGAGGACGTTTCTGCCCTGGTTGTCGACAATGGTTCTGGGATGTGCAAAGCAGGATTTGCTGGAGACGACGCACCTAGGGCTGTGTTCGCTAGTGTGGTCGGAAGGCCAAGGTATCAGGTAAATAAATGATTTGAGCGTATTACCAGCACGACAGTCAGAGGTCGAAGTTCTCCACAACTGCCGGCAGGATAACAAGACATAACGCGACTGGTAGCAATGAAATCGGACTGTACGTGACTAGCACTCAGCTTTCATAGGGAGCGTCCGAATATGACAGAAACTGTGGATTTTTCAGCTTTATTGCTAAGTATTTTAAAAATAAAAAAAGATTCTCTTCCAATTATGCAGTAATGTTTTAAAGCTGCAAATGTTTCATGCAAGTCTTCTAAATATTTCTGTAACTCTTTTTGTTTACCAAATGAAATAATATGGGAAGACAACAATACTATGGAAGCTACGAATTTAAAAAACGGAGCGGTAGATTTTCAAATCGTCGAGTAGCGTTTTAATCCCCCCTCAAGATTCATAGTAACAGTTTTTTAAACATTTCTATACATTCGATTATGACAAGAACTGTAAATATTTCGCAAAAATATCATAAACTATAGTAATGAAGCTTTCATTCGTCTGACCACAGACAGCCAACCATGGTTATCCATTTCGTGTTATTTGGCAACTCATTAGCATGGTCTAGGTCTGGTCTCAGGCACGACAATGAACTGCAGAGAAATTTCTGTCATGGGACAATATAAACATTCCATACATTCTATAAAGTGTGGACTATCACTAGAAAGTAGGTAAAAGATCACCATTTTCAGGCCGTTTACGAAAAATTGGTAAATCATCTAATAGTGTAAGTAGGTATTACCACAGACTTATTAACCCAGAAGCTACACTCAGGCAAATTCACTACAGTATATTCAGATAAGAGATAGACCGGACATAAACAAGACCACGTGATCATCGAACGCTGTAACATTCGGCAGGGACGTATTAAGAGTCACGCAGTACATATTTTAGATAGTAGATGCTGCTTTGCGTAACTTTGTAGTAAATTAGCACAATTCGATGTGTATACGATTGGTGATGGATATAGGATCATGTGGGGGTGGTAAGAAATATATAATGATGTAAATATACATAAGGGTTTCAAAATTTTCGCTTCGATTTCCAGCTTCGGATGCCGCCTGATGTTTGGTGAAATACAGTCGAATATAATCTCAAAATGGCGTTTAAATTAGCCTAAATTAAAAATAATCGTATATCTCTTAAAATTGCTTTTAGAATATTGATTACTATATTTTTTGATTTCTAGGTAAATATGTAACCAAATTGTGTAATTCAAAACGTAAAAAAATGTGCATGGTTGAACATTGTCAGAAAGTAGATTCTTGAATAGGTTTTGCCAAAATGAGTTCAAAAATGTCAATAATTAATTAAAAAATACAGTAGCTTTATAATTACTTATAACTTACCGAATTTGATGAACGACATCTTTTATTGGAAAGATGAGCTTGATGAGCTTTCATCATCGCTACTGCCTGAAGCACCAACGTCAATAATGAATGGCTCGACTTGTTCCTCTAAAATATTGTCCAGTTCCCACATTCTCTTTTCAACTTTGTCTTTCACGTGCTTAATACAGTTTTCCCATTTTTGCGCTATTATTAATGCTAGTGCTTCTTTGAAAAGTCCTTTGAGGTCACAAGATTTAAAAGTTGTATTGTGCTTAGCTATATAATTTTTAACCTCTGCCCATATGAGCTCAATGGGATTGAGCTCGCAATGGTATGGAGGTAAACGGAGCACAGATTTATTTTGACTTGCTGCCATTTCGTCAATGGCGTATTTTTGATATTCCGCCTTGTGATCCTTGACAATTCTTAATAATTGTACTTTCAGCATTGCTTCTTCAAAGTTGATATTTTTCGAGCGGAGCCAATTTTGAACATCAACTTTCCTTGAAGCCGTTGTTGGGACCTTCTCCATTCTTCGAGAATGATAAGGCGCATTATCCAACACAATTACTGCGTTTTCCTCTAAGTTCGGTAAAATTTTTGAAAACCACTGTTCAAACGATTCGCCATTTATTTCCTCGTGGTAATCTCCAGTTTCCTTAGACTCAAAGCACCACAGACCGTCAACAACAAATCCATCCTCACTGCCAATATGGCAGATAATGAGCCTTTTCCCTTTACCTGGAAATCGAAGTACTAACTGGTGTAGATTTATTTCAATAAGCGAACCTTTTTCAAATGTTTTCATCACATTCAGCGAAAAAACATTGAGACATGAGTATCAGATTGCTATAATTGGGATTATTTAGTCATATTGAAAGAAAGAATTTTGAACGTCGTATGATTACTCAGCGCTTCACAATTTAATTTTTAAAGTTATAAACCTTTAAAAAATGAATGATCAGTAACCTGAAATACGCGCAAATATTAATATTAACAAATTATAACTTCATAAAGCTTAAAGTATGAATTAAAATGATTAGAAATATTAGGAACGGTACACAATATAAAACTTAGTAACTTTTTTTAAGTTTATAATATTCGACATATTTTAAGATTATATTAAAAAATTATTGAAATATCGAAAACACATAAAAACATGGCTTAAAAAAGTTCTAACAAATGAAAATGACAATAAAACATCCACGCATTTTATCGAAAGTTATAAAAGTTTTGTTACTTGTAATATGTTTTATCTGCCCCCTGGAATTAATGTTTAGAACCTTGTTCCCAAGGTTTGAAAAACATCCGATTGTTGTCTATTACTCGTATTTACCTGCTGGATTTTTTAATCCGGTGGACAGTCCATCTAGAAAGGCCTTCCTGGATGAAGTTACAGAATCATCAACCCATACTTTACTTGTAGTGTGTCCTGCGTTTACCCATTTACTCACGTTTCATCAAGGTAATAAATCTTCCTGTTTTGATTTCTATATTTCCCAATTTTTGTTAAATAATCCCTCCTCCATAGCACAATTTCTTCTCTATCCAGTAGTAAACTGTTACGACCCCGTTTTTTCCATTTGAAATTTAAATGCTTCAGTAACGCATGGAAAGTTGATCGTTTGAAATTTGGCAACGTTGTATCTCCATTTACCTCCTGCAGTACTTTATCTATAGTAGGTATTTCATTCCTAAAGAAGAATTCATGCACTTTCCTCCTAATCGCATGCTTATCAGCTTCATCCAATGATTTAACAATACTTTTGCGATGTTTACTGGTCATTGGCTCAGAAAAGGTGTGATTTTTTTTGTATTGTCTTAACACATTAAACACTGATGCGCGACACACCCCAACTTTGTGAGAAACCTTCACAACAATTTCTTTGATGGTTGATGCCTCGTTCTCCTCGCGCTCGATCTTATATATATTCAAAATGACCTCTTTCATTTCTGCACTCAGGTGTCTTTTTTTAGAGCGTTTCCTAGGTGGACTACAGGAGTTTAAAACTTCATCGGCAGTATCTGTACTACTGGGCATTTTGCGCAAGCAGTTTATTGTTGAACAATAACAATCAATAACAAGGTATAACAATAACAACGACAAACTCAACAACTTAATAAGATAACAAACGAAAACGCCCAAAGAAATATCAAATTGCAATGATGCACACGACATACGTAACACGTCTGAACCTGAATGTGACTCTGCCTTGATACGACTGCTCTGCCGCTCGGCATAGGCATTTAATTGCGAATTGACCAATGAGGGCTCCTGTTTTACGTCGAGACGGCGGCGTTAGCGTGAAAATCACCCGAACCTTTTGTTTACATCCGGTCTATCTCTTATCTGAATATACTGTAGTACAATTTTCAGCTTCCTACACATAAGCGATCGGTTAACGCGGATTGCGCGCATTGCCGTATACAGCGTCAAGCGGCGGTAAATCGACGCGTACTCCGTACAACTTCGGACCTATCGGTTCTCTCCAAAAATGAATTTCTGATAATCCAGAACGGTCATATGTAGCATAGCAGATCAGAGCAGATCATAGCAAGGCAACATCATATCAAGAATTTGTGTGGAGGACTGTATTATAGCCTCTGATGGTCAAACATTGCTTGTTGGAAATAAGGAAATAAATTAGTAGACTGATTGACTCGCTACCGCGGACATAGTCGCACACTTTATTTATAGCTATATAATTTTGCAAAACGACGAAATTTCAATTTTTTCTCGAGAATTGAATAGAGAAAAGTGGAACCAAGTAGGTTGCTATTAATTACTGTTACGTATTTACACTCGAATTGATCAAGTGCAGCTCAAACACATTTTAGCTACACAGACATTCTAAGCGTTGTAAGCGATATATGTAATCTTAGAACGCATGCCTGGTTTTAGAATTTTTAAACAACCTATATTTCTACTATGACCCGAAATAATCAGAAAGTCAAATAACAAATATTCTCACTTTTTAGGTGTTGACCCGTATGAACTTTTGTAGTGCGTAAAAAAATAACTCCAAACACATTCCACCTATTTCAAATTTATTGACGTTCCCAAATTTACTCTTTTTAGTTGTTCCTGTGACTTTATTGGTGAAAGCATTTAAGGTTTCCTATCATTGACATAGCAGTATTTTTAAGGCCCTTGTTCGGACTCAAAACAGTCATGCACATACAGAATCCGTTATAGTCATAATACAATCCAGCACTTAAACGATGAATAAGGTGTTGCTGCTTCTTGCTGAAGCGAGAACGTCGGCAGCTCAGGTTATATTGGCGCTCTCTAGAACAAGTGCTGCTCAGCGTGCGTATAAAATTCAAAAATTAGCCAGAGTGATTCTAGTGTGGTATTACCTGTATTTAAAACATGCTCAATCCAAAGTTTATGATACTGTAACGCCCTCGTATAGCTGGGACCTTGAGCGGCGAGTCACCTTGCAGAGTCGACGATTAGGCAACCAGTTACGTCACCATGTATGAGTGCTTGCGGCACTGTCTAAACAGGGTTAGGTCGAGATTCAAGAATGTTGTCTTTTTCAGAAGTATCCAATTGCAGCTGATTATCTAATAATATTTCAAAATTCTCCATATCGGCAAAGGACACAGAATTGTAATCGATCCATCAACGCCAGGTAGCTGTATTTTATTACGTTTTTGTGTACTCTACAGATTCATTTTGTACTTGCTAACAGCTTCTTTATTTAGAAAAGTTCATTTGCATTCAAAAAACAAAAGGCTGCAAACAAGTTTTACTAGATTTACGCCCGATTCATCGTTGCCAACGTTGCAAAATAACAAATATATCACTTGTTGATCAGCTGTTCACCTCAGTAGACGTCAAAGCGTGATGGATACTCGTGAAATAGGGTTAATTTAGATCCGTCTGGAAGCACCTGCTGCTATCTAGACTACTTCCATGGAAGTTCACGACTTAACCTGGAAAACGGTCGAACATTTCTCGACATGTCGTTAAGGAGATAAATATCCGACCAGATGACGGAAGCAGTTAGTTACGGTCCAGTCGAATCAGTCAAACGACGAGGAATGCCGTAGTCCAGTCAACATGGTTATACATTGTCATAAATTAGTGTAATAGTAATAAATTACAATTTGGATAGTAAAAACGGTGTTCTCGTTACATTATGGAAGTCTTGCACCAATTCTAGAAAAGCCAATACGAACTATCCTATATTTAAAATTCATCTTGGATCTCCATGTTCAAGCGTTTTGGATTTGCACGATAAGATATTTGATCAGAATCAAAATGTCGTTGTCCGTGGATGCTTTTAAAATAAAGCGTGACAGGTTACGATTTCTCCTGCGTTTAACCATTGGTTAACGTATTTTACCTGAAGATAGCCAGCCGTACTGTATTCCGGCGTTCAAAAGAGGATCTGATACCAGTGTCATATATGCTTCTTTAATGTTACAGGTATATGACATGTACATCACGAAAAACCATGTCACTCATTTCCGTGACATGGTTGAGAAGTACTGTTACTACTATGTCAAGGACGCAAAAGTTTTGTAGTTTTTGAAAATCGATCCAGTGGCTACGAAGAAAAAGGCTGAAAACTCAAAAAAGTGAAAATCGCTAAAAACGTTTTTTGACGTTTTAGAGGGTCTTGACCCTTTTCAGAAAAAACTTTTGTAGGGTTGAAATTTGGGGGGTGGGAGAGGGTATATGAAATGTTTTTATCTTAATATATTTATACGCTCCCAGCCTTCGCAATTCGATGCACCTATTAGCCATCTTTTACACATCGTAGGGTTTCCACTAAGCTTCCTCTAAAACTTTCCACATTTAACCTTTGCTGTACGTATAACAGATGAGGAAAGGGACAACGTTGTCTACATGATCGGTAGCTACCAGTATGACAGGGAAATAATATCTAAGGACTAATTGTATGGGCCTGTTTGACTGACTTAATACGTTCAATTTCTTTGTTGTACATGACCGTGAATGACTTTTTTCTCAGAGGATTTAAATTGCGCTGAACTTAATCCTTTATCAACTGATTACGGCGCCAGCGTTTCATAGGAAGTGCAGAGTCAACCCACTTGACGCCATTTTTTTAAGGAGTGTTCGGTTCTGCTACTGTCTCATACATGGTGCTAGTATCTGCCAGATCATTTTTTGGACTGCGCCGGTATACATAATTATATGGTTGGCTATCGTCAGGTAGAAGGTACCCGACCATATTAATATAATTTTAGGGAGTTATGGTCGGTATGGGGCAGAAGGACTCCTATGTCGGTGATGAAGCTCAGACCAAACGAGGTGTCCTAACAGTGAAATATCCCATTGAGCACGGTATCATCAATAACTGGGACGATATGGAGAAAATATGGCATCACACATTTTACAATGAACTCAGGGTAAATATTGACTTATAACACAAATTTCTTAAATGAATATTAGGCCATAATACTATATCTATTGGGTACAATCAATGCACTAAAATAGCAAGTACATGTAAAATGAACATACCCAGTAAGTTTCTGTGATTAATAAATTATAGAATGTGGACGTAGGTATAGTTGTAGTCACCGTTCTTAGCGGTTACGTCATCAGCGTCCTATGAAATAAGTAAGCAGATCGAGTTTCCGTACCATGGGCGGAACACTGCGGAGACTAATCTTCAGCGCATCTGCTACTCTCTCCAGTACGCATGAAGTGGGTAACAGGGGACCGCTGTTTTCATTCTCTTCCTGAAAATACTCTAATAAATTTGGCACGAGCTGTCGGCCTTCTCCATTGATCGTATTTTCGGGCATTGTACAATTTTATATTTAAGATTGATAACAGGGCAACCCGAATTGCACGCCGAAGTAAGTTATCACTCTGACAAATATGATTGATGGGCACTCATACGTAACGTAAGTAAGTTTTCGAGACGGAGACACAACTAAAAAACGTATGTCTTTTGAGCTTGCCGAACAAACATTTACACACAGGGGTAGGTTGCATGTGTATGTATGAGGGAGATGGAGATATATAAAGGGATACTGATGGTAGTCTTACTTTGACCCGTTAAGGACGGTGACGACAACTTTATATGTGGTATCGTAAATTAACAGGTTACTTTCATGATCCATCATTGAGGTCTCCTTTCCAAATTACGTCTTTGCTGATTGTCTATTGAATATCGCTTTAGGGTGCCCATTATCTGCTCTGCCATTATTATTATGCTAAAACCCAATTTGTTTAATTGTCAGAAACCTAATTTTTATTGAACTATTTGCTTATCTATAACGGGCGATTCATTTAGATGTACTTTAATAAAAAGAAAAAAAAATCAATAACAATAAGCTTTATTAGGTGATCTTTATCATCGAAGAAAAGAGGCATTATTGACATCGATTTTTAAACATTATTTATTTCAAATGTCAACTATTAGTGTGATCAATGGGATCCATTCTTTAATTCCTATGTTTGATGACGCATTTGTGCATTTCGACTGGTATTTGGCGACCGCTAACGCGCCAGGATAACACACAATTTACTGGAATTCTAGTAACAGCAATTTTTACTTTCGGACCGATAAATTTGCCGCTTAGATCGTGTGATGTTAGATCTCTGGCAGTGGCGGATTTGCAGTCTTGGCCGCCCTAGGCCCGAGGCCGCTTTGTCAGTACTCATTATATAACCTACATAATTTACTTTACTGCCAACTTTGATACAAATTGATTCAGAAATTTACTTAAATGTACGAAAATACGTTATATGGGGTTGTCCAAAACGGACGCAGGAAAGTAAACGCATATTAAAACAAGAAAGATTGATATTCAAATCAAGTTGGGTACTACTTTATTTTGAAGGTTCATTTATACCATTTATGTATGAAAAATAATATCTCTCAAATGTTCACCATGACTGGATTTACAGACGTCCACGCGATGGTCGAAATTTTCAATGATATTTTGCAACATGGCCGGTTCTATGGCATTTATCTCGGCAATGATGTTGTTTTTGAGTTCTTGGAGGGTGGTTGGTTTGTTGACGTATACTTTGCTTTTCAAATATCCCCATAAAAAGAAGTCCAAGGGAGTCAAATCGCACGATCTTGGTGGCCATGGCACATTTCCTCTGCGCGAAATCACGCGATCACCGAAGAAGGACTGCAATCGATGGATATTGACGTTGGTTGTGTGGCATGTTGCACCGTCTTGTTGGAAATAAACATCGTCCATATCCATTCCTTCAAGTTGCGGCAAAAAATAGTCCTCTATCATCACGTGATATCGCTCAGAATTGACGGTAACGGCGTCCCTGGCCGCATTTTCGAAAAAGTAAGGTCCGATGATGCCTTTTGACCATAATGCACACCACACAGTCACTTTTTGAGGATGCATCGGCTGCTCTTGAAACTCACGGGGATTTTCGTTCGGCCCAGATGCGGCAGTTTTGCTTGTTTACCGTCCCATTCAAAGTGAAATGCGCTTCGTCGCTGAACATGATTTTTGATGAAAAATTGGCATCAATTTGGCGGTGTTCAAGGAGCCAATCTGAGAACGTTCGGCGCGAAAAATGGTCGGCCCGACGCAGCTCTTGCGTCAATTGGATCTTGTAGGCGTGTACATTCAAATCCTTGTGGAGAATGCGGAGCAAACTGGTTCTCGAAATGCCCAATTCTTGGGATCGACGCGTTGTTGATTGTTTCGGATCGTCTCTCACACTCTCCTTCACAACAGCAATATTTTCCGGTGTGCGACGCTCCTTGGCCGGCCAGAGCCTGGCAGATTTGCCACAGAACCTGTTGCCTCGAATTTACGCACCAGACGACCGATGGTTGTTTCGTTTGGGCGGGTGTTGCGACCGAAATGTTCACGAAGCGCGCGAAACGTGTTTTTTATTTTTGCACCATTTTTGTAGTGCTCTTGAATAACTTTAATGCGGTCTTCAATCGAATACGACTCCATAGCGATCAATGGTAAAAATTCAACTAACAAAATGACATGTCGGTGACAGAAAACAAAGATGGCGTCTATGTCAAATTGACGTTTACTTTCCTGCGTCCCTATTGGACAACATTTTAGTAAACATTACATTATACCATTGATATACATATCTATATTTTATACATAAAATGTAGAAAGTAATTTAGTAAGATTATTTTTATATGATGCAGTGCAGTGCCGCCCGTCATAATGTGAGCGAGTCTTTAGGATATTTAGGTACTCAGATACTTCTTGATATCATCAGTGAATTTTTTGTCACGATTGGCCGCTCCTAATATTTTGCCGCCCTAGGTCCGGGCCTACAGGGCCTGTTGGCAAATCCGCCACTGATCTCTGGACTTCTTCATTTACGGTTACGTCTACGAGTACCTACATGAATATGAGACTACGTTTGAGTAATAACCAGAAATCAGCATTAGTCGCGTAATTCGCCAAATACCTACACCAAATGCACTTCCCAAAATAACAAAATCATGGATGAATACTAAACAACTAAAGCAGCCATTACACATACTTATTTATACTTTATTCTAGGTATCCCCAGAGGATCATCCAGTACTATTAACGGAGGCACCACTGAACCCAAAAACCAACAGAGAAAAAATGACGCAAATTATGTTTGAAACCTTCAACTGCCCTGCCATGTATGTCGCCATACAGGCTGTGTTGTCTCTGTATGCCAGCGGTAGAACGACTGGAATTGTTATGGATTCTGGAGATGGAGTTTCACACACTGTACCCATTTATGAAGGTAGATTATATCCGCAGGATGATCAAAAAATATGGGTGCAGCCTTTCAAATTCAGGCATAAGATAAATAAAGTGGCGTCAAGAAGATTGACTATAACTTTCCACGCCTTCTAGTACAGTTTTCCATGTAGTGCAATGACACCAAAAAGACATACGTTTTGTCAGAAGCAGTAATGCACTATTTGGACTCTTCATGAAAAAAAGTTTCCTCCGATTGCAGCAATAAGCGTATCCGTGCATGGGAGCCTCATCTCTTTGGAGCTACGGTGTAAAACATTTTATAAACAATGCTTGATAACTGATTGTAATAGCTCTTGATAAATACTTACATCACGGAATAACATCATTGAATTACACTCCAATTATAACGCTCAATAATGAGTGATTCAAGTTGAGTTTCCACATTACAAATAATATTTTTTTGAAACACCACTGAATTTGTCAACGACAACGTGCCATTTCTAACGTCAAAATATAAACAAAACAGTCATGAAGCAATATACGCCCGAACAACGTGTTAAAATTATCCAAGCCTATAATGAAAACGGCCGATCAAGGAAGCATAGATTTCGTGCTTTACGTGAATTTTTTGTCGCACAAAATCAACCTTGTGAGAGGACAGTTTGGAATTTGGTGCAAAAATTCGAGCAAACGGGATCCGTCGCTAACACCGCAACCTCTAGGCGTGCTCGTAGATGTCGTCGAGTTGCTATTGTTGCCGAAAGTGTGGCCGAAAATCCAATAACCTCGATTCGTCATCGATCGCACTTATGCCACTACACAGCGGATTTTAACAAAAGATTTGAAGTTACACCCATACAGAATCCAAATAACATACGAATTGAAGCTTTAGGTCACACATCAGTGCGTTGCCACTAGACCGATTATCAAAAACTTTTTTGTCCCTGGCATAGTAGCAAGGTTGTAGGAAAATTTAATCGACTCTAGTTCATTTTTGTTATTTTTCTATATACTTTTTATCTACATACTTTTTTTAACGTTGTAACAGCTTTCAACACCACATCATAAACAGCTCCTTGTTTGTTGTAATGTGCTGTTTCAACCCGATTTCGACTTGAGTTGCGTTGCTTTGTGTTCTCACTGAAAGCAACTAAGCCCTATTTCATGAATATCCATCATGTTTTGACGTCTACTGAGGTGAACAGCTGATCAGCAAGTGACATTTTTGTATTCATCTCTAGTTATAGCCAACGTTTTGGCTTTAATAGATCGGGTGTAAAACTTATTTGTATAACTTTTTTTGTATGCAAATGAACTTTTCTAAATAAAAGAGTTGTTAGCAACTACAAAATAAATATGCACTGTATGGAAAACCAAAACACAACTCTGCGTACCTGGCGTTGACGTCAAAATTATGTCATTTGTCGATATGGGGAATTTTGAAATATCACTAGATAATCAGTTGTTATCCTACCGCAATGGATAGTTGTGAAAATGACAATAAATTGGCAGCCTGGCTTTGAGGATGTGGAAAAGTCACGGTTTACACAGTAGCAAAAATGCAGAATATAAAGAGATTATTTTAATCTTAAAAACCATGACTAAAAGAAAATCATATACTTAAGCAACGTATTTCACAAGTACTATCTAGTCAGATTAATCAACATTTGTACTATTTTTTATAAATCCAAAATTGACATAACAAAGTAACTTCTGGTACTCCTAGGAACAATGTCGTAAACGCCTGTGTTTAAATATATGTGTAGAGTTGCTGTAGAGTTGTGGTCCGCGTTGCTTTCTGTGAGAACAGTCACCTACCATGGGCTTCTTTAAGAGCTACAAATGTGTGGGGGTTGCATATAGCGACAGATCTGGGCCGTAAGGTGGGATATCTATAGTGTATTTTTTTTTTTTTTGGTGAGGGGGGAATGCGTTTACGCACCATACCATAGCCCGAGCTACGGCGTGTGTGGGACTCCAGGTTGTCTTGAGGAGACCACCTAATACCCACTAAACCCTAACCTCCGCGTGGCCCGACTCATCAGCGTCTCGGTAGGCCATGTGTTGTGCGTGACCTGCGGTCTGCTACAACGTCTCCTCATGTGTTTCAGTCTCTGGGAACGCCGGGTTGGTTCCCTTTACCTCGCACATTCTATCGATGTCGTTAAGCGATCATCGATAGAGGGTCTGCTAGGTTCTCTTGAAACTCTTGTTTTCGAAAAATCAAGAGTTTCAAGTCCTCTTACCTATATATTGTTCCTGGTCCTGATCCTGAAGGGTCCTGGTCCTGGTGGGTCCTGGTCGTGGCGGGTCCTGGTCCTGGTTGGTCCTGGTCCCGGTGGGTCCTGGTCCCGGTGGTTCCTGGTCCTCTGCATCCACGCCGTGGGGGGGGGGGCAACTGCGGGTTCTCCTAGTCTCCTAGTCAAGGTTCCAGTTAGCGGGTGCCAACTGGGACCTTGGTACCTGGTTCTGCGGTTGCGAGGCCTCTCGTCCGGATCGTAGTCCATGAGGAATCGTAGCTGCTCGTTCGGGTGGTCCTGAGCTTTCTCGAAGGTCTTCTCCGCTTTTTTCCTCATGTATGGATGCGTGATTGCCAAAAGCAAGGACGGCGTACAGGGCCGCATTCAGGGCTACCTCCGAATGATGGACTACCACCAACGTGTTGTAAAACAAAGATGACAGTATTTAACAGAAACAGAAACTTAACAAATTACTCAAATACACTTAACAACAACAACAGCAACAACCAAGCAAGGTGAATACGAAAACACGAGCACGCAGTGATACACGCGACGGACGGTGGCCGAGTGCAACTCTGCCTGCCCTGCCTCTGCCCCGCGCATTATTTCGCCAGGCGACCACTTGAAATTTAATGGCGAATTGACCAATAAGAGGCGTTGTCCCCACCTGTTACCGAGAGATCACGCGCTAACTGTTATTATTTACATCTCATCTTGAATTTGGATTCAGTTTAGGGCAGTCCAGTGAATACTTTGTTTTTTTATTGTTACGGTTTGGGATCTGGTGTTGTTAGCACACTTTTGCTCGAGATGATGCGCTATTTGATAGATACCACGAACATTACAAGAAATAATAGAGCTTAGAAGTGCTTAAATCATTCGAAGAAAATCGATCCATGTACCTTTACAGTCCCAGAACCCCGTTGGCAAAATCTTTCTTGTAGACTACCGCAACTGTGCTTCAACTGCGTTTGATTTATCGCTTTGCACTTTGCTATAGTTGTACTCACCGTTCTTGGCGCTTACGTCATCAACGTCGTATGAAATAAGTAAACAGATCGAGTCTCCGTACCATGGGCGGATCTTAATTTTCCTAACTGAGGGAAACCGATTCAAAATTATTTACTAATCGTAATTCTCAAAAATCTTGTAATCTATTACATGAACTTTGGTAGAGTATGACACACCATTTGATGTTTTTTAAATTTGAAATAAAAAATACATACGGAATTTACAATATAATACAAAATAAAACATCTATTTGCTAACTTGATGGAAAATTTAACATTGGATGTGGATATGTGACAAGCTTATGAGAGCTATAGAATAACCAATAATAAAAATGCTCAATTCTTGCCGGAGTGAAATGCGACTAAATAAATTACTGCTAGACAAAAAATACATTTTGATGATGATGCTCTTAAACTCGAGCTTTTAAATCTATGTCGCATTAATAAACATCAAGCTTATAACACTTCCATATCTATCAAAATATTTAGCAATCTACATAAAGGTGCGCGCATAGAAAATTAAGAATTATAAATTTTCAAAATTGTTTCAATAAAAGTATGACTTATTGGATTTCTTCACCAGAGTCATCTGAACTTTCTCTCAAGTAAATGATTATATAAGTATCTTCCCTATTAAACACTTGATGATTATCCCAGTGGTTTTTAATAAAGTCCTCGGTATGTTTCACACATTTTACTCCAAGTGGAATCGGGCATTTTTTTCGGTTAAGGCACTATGATAAGAGGCATTATCCATGATTACTAGAGATGGCTCTTGTAATGCTTCTCATATAATGTCTCATAAAATAGATACGCTTGGAAACAATGTCTGATTCTTCACACAAAAGTCGGCGGTTATTTTCTGTCTTGTAGAAAAAACCGCACGCCTTAAACTTGAATCGGAGGCGTTGTATATATACCTTTTTTTAAGCTCTTGATTGAGCGCAGAGGTCGTGATATGTTGTCCTTTTCTTCTCATATCGTAGAAAGCATTCCTAATTTCTGTTTTGACGGCATCACTTACATCATCGGTCTTGCATGTCTGGGTAACAGGGGACCGCTGTTTTCATTATCTTCCTGGTAATACTCTAATAAAAGCACGAGCTTCGAGCTTCTCCAGTGATCGTATTTCCGGGTATTGTACAATTTCATATTGAAAATTGATAACAGGACAACTCGAGTGTTATCACTCTGACAAATATGATTGAAGGTTATACATAACGACAAAGTTTTCGAGACGGAGACACAAAACTAAAAAATATATTTCCTTGAACTCATCGAACAAACGTTTACACACAGGGTTACGTTGCACGTGTATGTATGAGGGAGATGGAGATACTAGATATAAAGGGTAGTCTTACTTTGACCCGCCAAGAACGGTGACTACAATTATAGACTTATTTTAATAATCAAGGAAGGCAGTTGTAGATTGTAAGAATAATTAGCTTAAAATTTTGGACGAACTAACACACAAAACTTCATCAAGGGACACTTGTTGGGAAATACGTTGAACAACAGCGCGGTGTACATTTTTCTTGCTGGTCTTATGTACATACAACTGATAACAAGAGTCGAGTGGCCAAGGGCGTATCCAGGGGGCAACGGGAGTCAGCTGCCCCTCCTTTTCCCTAGATCGGTAACAATTAAATGAAAAGAACATTTTTTACAAAAATTAAATTATTCATTCAGGGTTCTCCTAAAGCTGAATCAGTATCTACTAAATGAGAAATTTCTAGGATTAGTGGAAATCTATGTTAGTTATAAACTTAATTTTGCTAATACCATATATATTTTACGTATATTTCAACTGTAAAACGAATGTCACACGATCAGTATTTACTATGGTCCGTACCACCAGGCTACACGGTCAATATACATCACATCTCATGATAAATAAATTGGCGGATAACAAATAATGATCTTATGAGATTCGCTTGAACGACGCGGCTTTATGGGGGCGAGTTGCTTAGGTAAATAAAAAATGGAAGTTGGACAGTATGTAAATTCAAGGTATTTCCGAATTCAATCTAAGTCGTTTTTATTTTTTCATGGCTTTAGTCCGAAACAAAACTTTTACAAACATCCACATTGTCTACAAATCTCAAACAAAGTATATAATAACATTACCACTTTTTCTTTTCTACACGGTGGCCTAATTAGAATTTCGATATGACGTTTTAGCTCTCAGCTTTTATTAAATTATACCCTTTGCGATGTCTTTATTATTACCGTAAAATCATATAAATCAGTTACATTATGTAGTTCCTCATTCGATGAGTTTAAACCAACTATATGAAGTTAGGCACTTGAAGTTTTATATCAATACGTCATCATCATTGATATTCTATGAAATAAATGGTTATATGATAATTTCAAGGCTTACTCAGCAAACATTTTTTTTATAAGAATGTATGAGATGCTATAATATTTGAAATCAAAAAGTGGCAATGTCAATGTGCGGTTTATTTTGAAATGTTATCCAAAATAAATTCAGAAAAAATTATAAACGATTTTGAGAAAATTCGTTCCCTTTTCCGTGTATCTCTGGAGATATTGGTAGCGACAAAATTTCGCAAATACATTTTCTAAAATATATAAATACGCAACTTTGCAACTATTCAATGGAGCTCTTATCGGTGAAAATATGACAACTTTGCTTTTCAAATCATTCTAGAACAAAGTAGGTACATATTCTTCTCCATATTCTATAATACTATGTGTGGCTGTATGTCATATACTATCTCAAGTGTTGCTTTCAAGAAACCAAACCAAAAATTTATTTAATTATTCTCCCCTTCTGTTTTGAGCTCCGTACACCCTTGAGAGTGGTGGTTGTAAGTTGTTACATTCGACATACCCTCTCTTCTCTGTTATAAGACATAACCATTGTAGTAGATTCCACACGTCGTCGGGCGGAACATAACTGAAAAAGAAGTCTAAACATATATGTCAGGCAATGGAAGCTTATAATTGAAAAAGGTTCATTTTTTTTGATTCAAATAAATAAGCTTTCTTGCAACGAATTATATAGAGCAAACCCACAATGTCATCGCATTTGCTAGGTTACGCCCTACCACACGCCATAATCCGGCTAGATCTGGCAGGTCGCGATCTCACGGACTACCTCATGAAGCTGCTGACTGAACGCGGTTACAGCTTCACCACTAGTGCCGAACGAGAGATCATCAGAGACCTGAAGGAGAAGATTTGCTACGTAGCACAGGAGTTTGACCAGGAGATGGCCATTGCACGCACTACGAACTGCATAGAGAAATCGTACGAGCTTCCAGATGGACAGATCATCACTTTGGGCAGCGAGAGGTTCCGCTGTCCAGAAGCCATGTTCCAGCCTGCACTGATAGGTAATCCCATAACTGTTAATCAGGAGACAGCTCCTAACTGCACCAATTGCTGTTCAAGGCTCTCAACACTGCAGATGTAAAGAGGAAGCGTCTAAATTCCTATTCATCTAAACGACAGGATGTATCGCTGTTAATTGGTACTGGGAAATGGCGCCAAAGAACGCAGGCCAGAAAATTCTGTGCTGTTCAAAAACGATGTGCCATACTATTTTCCATTGTTTTACCACGTTTTTCCACAAAAATGTTTTCCACCAGTAGCTTAACAAATTTGCAAATAAAAATTCTGGGCTAAGTTCACGTACGAGTAGCCTAGATTTTCCAGATTATTTATAAAGATCATTAAACATCTTTTCTTCATCGTGTTACCACGTTCTTCCAAAAACATTTTTCGTTTTTCCATTTTTAGGTTAGGAAAAAATTCGAAAAAATAACCAAGGAACGTATGGTTAGCCCAGAATCACCAGATTTAAAAAAAATGAGCACACATGGATTTTCCATCGTTTTACCATGTTTTTCCTACCTTTGAATAACGAAAAAATAAATGATTTGTCGGGGTCATTTGAGGTTCGCTTAGGAATTTCTGACGGCTTCAACTGCACGTGATCCAGATTTATATATATATATATATATATATATATATATACAGTATGGGAAAAACCATTATTATACATTATGATGAGGAAGAGAGATGGAAATATACAAAAGTATGTAGGTGCGTGAAAGACACTCGATTGTAGGATCTTATCTGGCAGCGTCGGAGTGTGACGGACAACGGGGTAAAGTAGAAGAGTGATAAAAGAGAGAGATGGCAGAACGGGCGCTGGCGCCTACCGCTTAGACGGATGTGCTCAACAAATGCGATTTGTTTCTCCCATTCGCAGAGTTGCCGATACCAATATGTCATATTTCTAAGAAATCTAAGTCTACCCAAATTTCGGGAAAAATAGCTGCGGATTCCACATAAGAGTATTCCAAAAATGAAAAAAGTTCAAACTATTAAAATTGTATTAATGTTTCATGGTTCAAATCATATTTTTCATGTTTGTATATTGTTGTATAAATGATTTTGTAATCCCTATTCTTGTTGCCAGTAGAGATACAACAGTATTGAGAGAAATCATGGACCGCTAGATAGGGCTACAACTACCATATGACTATCAAATAGTAGTGATAAACAGGGTTTGTTTATAGCACAGTTGCCTGGTGTGGCGAATTTGCGCCATAGGGGCGATTTGACAACTTTGAAGGACAACTATAACGGTTACTATGGTGCCCGGTATTCGGGAATCTGGCAATACCTGATGATTCCTAACGTTTATTACGCCAGATTGTTTGCTGAGTTGCGCAGCACAACATGACAATCAACGTGACTGAGCACCTGGTAACCCTGGTTTAAGGTGTTATATTTAAAGAGCTTGGGGCAGTTAGGTATCTAGGTCACATTTTTTAATATATTTCGAGAAATCCGTAATGTTGAGTAAATACTAGATCACGTTTCTTGCTTAGTTTGCTGAAAATTCTACAATAGACGTACATTTTGAGAAACACAGATTTGGTGACGACAAAATCGTAAAAATATAACGCATTTTCGTAAAATAATTTCTTTGATGAAAAGACTGTGGCTTGATGACCCATTGAACGAGTATAGTGTCCCGCTCCGCTTTGAATATTCGAAACACTATACTCCAGCAGCATTCAGCTTCAATGTTATCTTTATGAAGTTCTAACGTCTAGGCCATGCTGATTAAAAGCTTGAATGGATCAACACTTAACTCTAAATTCCCCACAATTCGGGAAGCTCTACTCAAATTGGCAACACAGCGTATCTATTCTCATTCGTGATACAGGTCTGCGGTTAACGGTAGGAAATATGTACGAATAGCGATGAAAGTAGACAAGCCGATGCGCTGTTGCCAAGAAATGATTTCCCATGTATAACAATGGTTTTTCCTAAGGTGTATATATATACACCTATAAGTACATGCATGGAAAGAAAATGTCATATCCGCTTGGTATACATTTCATGGAAATCAGGAAAAACGGGACTGCGTTGAGGCAGAAATGGTTAGTCGAATTTTTATCAAGTAATAAAACACATAAAAAATAAATATAAACACAAGTGCAAATTACCTACCGCGAAGAGACACAGAAGTTCAAAATGCCTACCGTTAAAAAGAACTACCACATGTGACCTCTCTCTTATTTTAAATTTTTCTCGTTAACTAATGGTGGAAAAACGAGCATGTTTGGTGAGAAAACAAGGTGATAGATACAATGAAAAAACGGTTCGTGAGAATTTCCACGTAGGCGAGATGATTTTATAAATGTATGAGTAAGTGTGACCTAATTCAAAATATCTCTGATTGACCAAATGTGAAAAAACGATTATCTTTAGTAGTAACACTAGGGAATATGATGAAATAACGATTCGTGTAAATCTCCACGTAATCCAGAAAATTTTACAGAAATTTAAGCTCATGCAAGCCAGGTACATGTAAACCTCACTTACTATTTTTGAATTTTGCAATTAATCAAAGGTGGAAAACAAAGGTTTTTGTTGGAAAATCAAGGAGATGGGATGGTAACACAACTTAACACGATTTCTACGTACCCTGGAAAACCCTGCAAAGAATTTAAGCAAAATCGGGCTGCACCCATTCAATCGCAACTTAATACTTGTTTATTAACCCATGGTGGAAAAGGAAAGTTTTTTGGGAAAGCAAGGTGAAGAATGGAGATACAAAACGGAACGATTTCCATGTAGCCTAGAAAACTACACAAACATTTAAGTAAGTTCAGGCTACATAAAATCGCGACTCCTCAATATATTATTTGTTTTTAACCAAAAAGGAAAAACAAAAAAATGTATTGTAAAACCGGCGCAATATGACGAAAAAACGATTCGTGATGATTTCCACGTACCTGGAGAAGTTTAGAGAAGGTTGAATTACCTCAGGTTATCTACGTGTGATCTTGGTTTATTATTTTCAATTTTTCTTGTTAACCAAATGTGGAAAACCAAAAATTTATGGTGAAAAAACCAGGTGATATAATGAAAAAACCATTTGTGATGATTTCCACGTAGCCTGGATATGTGTACATAAGTATGAGCAAATGCGGGCTATGCACATGTAATCCTAACTTCCTATGTTTAATTTTAACTAACCAAACGTGTAAAAATGAAAACATTTGAAGCAAAAACGAAGTGATAGGTTGGAAAAACGATTCATAATGGTTTGTACGTAGCCTGAATAAGCTTAGAGGTTAGTTTCGAGCTATCTACCTGTGACCTTGATTCGTTATTGTCATTTTTTCTCATTAGTCAAAGGTGGAAAAATGGAAACTCTTGGTGGAAAATCGAACTGATAGAATGGAAAAACGATTAGCAATGATTACCCGTAGACTGGAAATATTCCGAGGAGTTTGGGTTTATTGAGGCTATTTACGTGTGATCTCAATTTGTTATTTTCAATTTTTCTCATTAACCAAAGGTGGAAAACCGAAAATTTCTGTTGGAAAATTTAAGTGATGATTGCCACGTAGCCTGGATAGGTATACAAAAGTTTGAGTAAATGCAAGCTATCTACGTGTGACCCTAACTTCTTGTTTTCAATTTTCCATATTAGTCAGGTGGAAGAAGTTGTTTTGTGGTGAAAAAAAGTAGATAGTAGGATAATAAACAAGTCTTAGGCTGTAAAGAAACTAATTCGTGGGGATTCCTATCAGAAATTTCTAGGCTAACCCCAAATGACCCCTAAAAATCATATCTCATTTTTTCGTTATTAAATGGTGGAAATCATTTGGTTGCAAAACTATGGTAAAACAATAGGAAATCCATGTGTGCTCATTTTTCTTAAAGATTTGACTGATTCTGGGCTAACTAAAGAGATGTCCTTGGTTGTTTTTTTAACGTTTTTCTCGTAAAGTAAAGGCGGAGAAACGAAATTTGGGATTCATGAAATTAGCCCAAAATTTTTTATATTCAAATTTTTGAAGCCGATGGTGGAAAACGAAAACTGTTGGTAGAAAAACGTGGTAAAACGATGGAAAATTCGTATCGCTCATCGTTTTTTAACAAAATTATCTCGGCTGGCTCCACAGACCTAAAGAAAGCACCTCCATATACAAATATTATTTACCTAATTTGCCAGGTCATACATAACACGATCCTCTGTACTTTATGAATTGATAAAAAAACTGTTTCGACTTAACTCAAATATTGCTGGAATCTTTGGACATCCTTTGAGGCTATTAACCCATCTTGAACAAATATCGGAATATACCATAGGTCCTTTATGGCCAACGTAAGGAAGCTAGGAAGTAGCAACACAGACTAATAAATACGCAAATATTGTAATAGTATAAATACAGAAATGAGTATTTCCTTCATTTCCAGGCCTAGAAACGCCTGGTATAGCAGAAACCACATACTTATCCATAATGCGCTCGGATATGGACATCCGGAAGGAACTATATGCCAACACAGTACTATCAGGTGGCTCAACGATGTTCCCGGGTACGGCAGACCGCATCCAACGTGAGGTAGCGCAACTAGCACCTGCATCCATGAAGATCAAGATCATTGCGCCCCCTGAAAGAAAGTACTCCGTCTGGATCGGGGGCAGCATTTTGGCCAGCCTCACCACCTTCCAGCAGATGTGGATATCCAAGCAGGAGTATGATGACGCGGGGTGTACTATAGTACACAGGAAATGCTTCTGAGGAGTGCAGTCACTATCGACGCACGTTCCAATTTCTAAAAATATTATTTTTTAGTATTATTATACAAAGGTGTAAAAAATTAGCAATATACGAGTATTGCGTTTATGGCTAGTATGTCGCTGGCGAACTAAATGAGTTAATAGTTTTCGTGGAGTTATACCGTCGCCTAGGTTCTAACTCAGCGTAACTCAAGACTGTAAAGGGCAAAAAACGGTGGATCTTTGGATTCCTTATCGAAAGACATGCATGTCTTGATGGCGCCATTTTTTGAGTCACGCGATGTTTAAACTAAAACGACGATAAATATGTGAAAATTATTGCCAACAGTTCACCTTCAGGGGCCTGTTTCTCCGGAATCGAGAGGTGTTCGCAAATCGAGAGGATCAAATACAATAGTTTCGGAATAGTCCCAAGAGTCATCTATTAAATTCTTGCCCTATGTTTAGGAAACACCCTGTACATGACTAAGCTAAGACAATACCATCATGCTAAGTTACAAATAAAAAGTGTCAAAAATATGAAGAAGTATATATATATATGTTTACCTCTTACGATTAGATAACTATGATGCTTACTACTTACCTTTCAATCAAATGAAACCGCTTTTCTCTAATTTTGCCCGTAAAAAAGTATTTTTATCAAATTCTCACACCGTTAAAGGCGCCCGCGAAAAGGTTTTTTCTTATATTTCTGTTCGAATGTCTGCATGTTCAATTAACTACCTTGATCACAGAATACATGAGGCTTAATTTCCAATAATGCACAACGTGTAACTAGAGTCACTATTTTATTTATACTTGCGTTAAGCTGAACTTGTAGGCAACCAGATTTAAGCAACCCTCTTATTCATCGATCGATGATTACAAATTGATCAGGGCTGCTAGGTGACATGATTTTTCACCAAATCTGGTGTTTTTTCCGTTTGTATCCATCACATATTTACAAAAAGTATTTATTTTATTGACTTTATCGAATAAATTCGAAAGTCGTAGTTATTACTGGTCAAATTAGATTCCCCCAAGGGGGTCATGACCCCCCCTTGGATCCGCGCTTGTGAAATACCTACTCAGACATTATGTCACTTGAAAAGTGACATTTTGTCGTTTTTTGTGTCAGTTCGGAGGTTTCTTGTGACACAACGTAGGTTTTTCTACAAGATGTTAACTTAGCATAAGCTGTGAACTCGTTTTGTAGCTGTACGTGTTGCTTAAACGTCAGCGAACAGCGATCATAGCGAGCAAACGTGGAGTGAACTATTTGCACACTAAAAACTACCTAGTCTGCAAGATGACATTTCGTCGTAATTTCAAGAATGGATAAGAAAATGTGGATGCGCAACTAATGTCTAGCTTTGAGACAAGTGTCCAATGGAATTATCATTAACCCATATTAATAGCACACAAATCCTCACTATGCACCTTTGCATTGCCGTTACCTCCAGTAATGCCATATCTGAGGCAGATTTTACATCAGATCACAGCCAGACATTGATAACTGAAGCCTTATGACATTTAGGCAACACATGCAACTACAAAACGAGTTTAAAAGGTGATCATCAGCTAGTGTTAAGTTAACATCTTGTAAAAAAACCAATATAATGTCAAAAAAGACCAACATAATGTCACCTTTCAATAATACATAATACCCGTGCCGGTCAGTCTTCAGCGGATGATTATTTGTGTGATTATAAAAAAACGTTCGCAGGCCGAGGTACAAGAGCCAGGACAAAAACCACCAAGTGACTGCCGTGCGCAACATGTGCCACGACATGTGCATCAATTTGTCCCGCGGAAAAATGTTGTAGACATCGAAGTAAATGAATTTGTTATATTGGAATCGTACCTTCCTTTTCTAAAATCCTGTTTTAAATTGTTTTTTTTGTAAAAATCTTGATAACGCCTTAGACGATTTTGTTTAAATCTTTTGAAGTTCAGTAGGTACAAAACAGCATAAAAACGTATCAATAAGACCCAAACCCTAAAAGGAAAAAATTGAACGGACTTGAATCTGTCAATTTTCATGGCCTTGATAATTCGTGGTTTCAATAAAGTTTTTTTTGAATGGTTTTAAATACGTCTTAAATACCTATCTGTTAAATTTCCACAACAATTAACAATGTACCGTCTGAAAAGTTAAAAACATTTTTTTAAAGTGCATTTTCGAGAAAGTCTAATATCCTATAACTTAAAAAGAAAGTCTATGTTTATATGAAATTTTCTTATTATCACACCCATTAAAGTTTGGCCAGGTATACTTTATTGAGATTACGTATAAGAGTGGTCTTACCAGTTGTTTGCGTTAATACGCTACATTAGAGTAATCCATATCCACAAGTATTTTTTAAGTAATTGAGACTATAGGTAGGTACTTTGTATTTGTATGTTTCTTTTCTGATCACAATAAAAGGTATCGAAACAAATGAGTTTTATTGCGCAATGCAAAAAGGATAACAGAGTTGTTTATCACATAAGTGTTTGTAAATAACAAGCATTTTTATTATATTTTCTTAAATGATTTATCAACAATTATGGAAGATATTATAACAAATATACCGACAATGACCAAAAACTGTATCTCCAAACTCATATTCTTTTGTTTTCGAACATTTTAACACGTGCTTCCAAACGGGAGGATAATTACTATCACAAAATATATACACGTATTATTATTAACAACGGTCTTATTGTCGGCGATTACTACTTTATGCGTGCATATTTTTGTGGAATAGACTTACAACCTTCCTTGCTCTCTCCTTCTTGATCCAAATTCATATAAATTCTGAGTGCCACCTATTTCGTGATCGTTGTTGGTCTATTCTATGAGTTCTATGGTTTCTGAGGTTAGGCACAAAACACATGAGACTGAAGAATTGCCAGCTGCACGATAAACAATAGCAGCACCGTTGACGTTTGTCAGATGGTTGTGCCGCCTACTTGCCTGGAGATCTGGAGGATCTATCGCAAGAATGCCGAGAATGCGCCTGGAATAAGGAATGCCAGAAATGTGTCGCGGGTTTCGTTTGTTCATAATTTGAAATTGCTAATAATGATATGTCCGATATTGAAAGATTATTTCCAGAACATATATTCATAAAATATCCTCAATAAGGGTAATATCTCTTTCAGCAGTTTTGCTAAAAACAGGTTCAGAATAATAAAATCCTACACTAATTATGAAGAACAAAATATATTTAATTTCAAAAAATAATCATGTGCTGTTGACGATGGTATAAAAATTGTATTACCTACTTGAAAATATAGATAGACTTATTCCAAATATATGTTGTGTGTTGCAAAATACAGGTGTCTCACTTAGTTGAATTGCTTGTTGATAATTCTGAAACAATATAGAAAACACTAATGTAATTCATATTTCTTTGTAAATAAGGTAGTCACTTTTAATTAATTGCTCAGTTCTGGGTCTTTAATTTAGTGCCTAGATTGGTAGAATTTTGCTTCATAAAGCTTAGGGCTTTATTACCATGTCCTTTTCAATAGAAAAAAAACTTTCGGACACTTACAACGGTGCCAACTACAAGGATTATAAAGAGACTGAATCGAGACATGCAATTTTAAATAATTTACCATCGACATCATGCCGATATATGTTCACAGCCTACCTGTAGCACTTTATGGCTTATGAGCCGTTTTACACACAAGAGAATTACTCCGAAAATTATGGTCATAATTATGCTGAAAATTTGCATGGAAAAAATATTGAAGATTTTCTCCACAACCTGTATGACACAAGCAAACAAAATTTCGGAGTAATTCATATGATACGCCTGCGCATTAGAGTTATATTTTCAAATGGACATAACCTTAACGGGTATGACGTCCAATATAATCGGAAAGACAACAGACGTCGATAATTTAAATTTATTTTTGAAATCGAGATCTTGGTTAATATTATAAAACTTCTCAATGCTTGGACTATCGCATCCAGCCCCTGACGCCGCAAATTTCTGTTTTTGTAATTGGGTGACTTCACCTTGTACAGGTTTGGCCATTTTTGGTACTCCTCCAACAACATTGTAAATTCTTCCCGATTCCACGACATTATGAATAAACAATAACAATAAACGCTCCTTCGTACGACTCAAACAGGACCACTCCCACAAATGTTAAGTGAGGTTATGTTGTTGTTGTTGTCGTTGACATTTGATATTGACATGCACGGAAATAACCCTCTGCGCCGATTCTCGCGCATATAATATAGAACGGGTTTTATATTTTTACCATGAAAATTTTCACAAGAATTCTTTTACGTGTAATACGACTGCAAAAATTTTCGGCATAATTATGACCATAATTTTCGGAGTAATTCTCTTGTGTGTAAAACGGCTCATGACCGAGTCTCCTGAACTTCCGCATCTCCCACAATAGTCACTATACTCGTCATCTCACGTATACCATCACAGCTATTTATATTTATATATGGTTAGGTTCGTTCTTGTGTATATCACGAGTATTTATAATCAAATTCAAGCGGATAACCAAATGGAAATGGTATTAACCATGTTGGATTGGTATTTACCGATCCGTTCAAGCGAGTGTGGTTATCAGTTTGGTTATAAGATCCATGACGTCATGAATCAGCTGTTATATGTCATAGTTATCAGCGCAAAATTGTGGTATTTACCTAACTCGGGAGTAGTTTTATATTTCTGGTTATTATTTGACATGTGACAAGTTAGAATTTTGCCGGGTATTGAATATTTTTATTGTACTTCAGCTTCATTTTTGGGAAACTTGATACAGGCTGATTTCAGTTTTAGCATAAGAGATCACCTTATTATTTATAATCATTACTGTTGTTGTGGATACTTTAAATCTAGTTCCTACGCTTAACAAAGTATCCTGTATAGCCATATACCACAAGAATATTAAAATATGGCCTTATAAACTCACTGGATGATGTCCACCTGTATACGGTTTTGTTAATATCTTTTTTCATCGCTTTTTCATCATTTCTGCTAAATCAATAAATATTTTCTTTGACATGCGGAGAAGTTTAGAGAATTGAAAGCTATCATAGCTACAAAGCCATGGTTCCATCAATAAAAATTTTTTTCTGAAAAAAAAAACATTCCTCCCATTAATATTATGAAAGTTTTATTTTTTTCAACTTTCCATACGCCGTTGTAGACGAAAAAGCACCGATTATTAAGTGATAATAAAAATAATCAGAAATTATATACGCGCTTTTCTAAAACAACTTGCCACAAACCGCGGTTAAAACCAACGCGTTCAAGCGATTCGAGTAATTGACGTCATCATCCCGTGTGTCATCTTGAACCATATTATAACCGCGGTACATAATACGGAAATTTTGGTTATCCGCTTGGATTTGATTTATGTTTTGTCAATTTTGTGCTGTTCTGGTGTTCACTGTTTTGTGCTTTTTAGAGTATAAGCAGTATTGGAAAACTTGCGTGTAAAAAAGAATACAATAAGTTGTGATAAAAACCTCAAATTTTAGAGATAGAGACTAAGAAGACAATAACAAACATTCGTGCCTGAGTTATTAACATTGGATACACGTTTGGTGCTAAGTTAAACACTCATTTTTAACTTGAAAATGGATAGAGGTAGAGGACGAGGTGAGTACTATAATAGGGGAACCCCTATGTATTTGCTGGTAATAATAATAATGGAGAAGATAATTATTAAGCTAACAATACAAATGGTAATGATACATGATCATATGTATTTTGTGTATCGTGTACTTTATATATAGTGCAATCTCATTTTGAATATGGACCTTATCTTAACTGGGGGAATTACACGTAGCCTATTTTATGACTAATATTCTATTAATAGCTTGATTTTGTACAATAATGGATGTTCTGGTTCAGACATATCCAGACCTCAAAACAAAAAAAATGAATACAAATGTGTGAATGTTGCTATATCAGCAAGTATACTCATATGGTGGGACAAAAGTTACCATACTTGAACCCCTAATTAATAATATTTATATATAATAATAATCTTGTATATTGCAACTTCATTTTACTCATTATTTGAGGACCAAAAATCTTGACCTCATTGTAAAATTATTCAACAGAATAGTAGTATTCTAGTATTACTTTTTTCAAAAGGACAAGCACTGGCTACCCATGATTCAAATACTTTATCTTTTGCAAAAATCCTGAACTGCAGTTTATAACATGGATAATCTCAGTTGATCTGATGACCTTGAAATAGTGACAGAATCATGTCATATTTTCAATAGTCATGTAGGCTCATCATGACCAATTGAGATTTACAGATAGTGAAAGCATGTGTAGCATTTTAACAATAGAAACACCAGTATTTACAATATTTTGAAAACTACCACTTGGCAAAGTAGATAACCTAACACAATATCAACTATATTTCTTAAGCGTAGTACTAGCACGTTGTATTTGAAAAGAGATACATTTTAGGCTTTTATTTTTGAATTAAAACTCATTTTGTGTTTTGATCACCCTGTATTACTTGATATCTAAATATGAAATATCTACTCAGGTAGCTCCCATGCTATAAGTATCATCAAAACATGTTATTTTAGGCTGAGATTGTTATATACCAACAGGCACTTTCTCAGTTCTAAAACAAAAAGGAATTATATGAAACATTAATTATTTCCAAAATTTTATATGGAATCATAACATATTTATCCTTGCTTGGTTCAAATGTTTGCTTATAGACTACAAAAAATTTAAAATTGTTGTTGCCCCTTAACTAATAATATAAGAAAATATGATCATGTAACTGACCCAATCAAAGATTTGGGATGGGTCAAAATTGATAACCTGTAAATTTTTTTGGTCATTTATAAAATTTATTATAACCACTCATTCACCACTAGGTTTATTGAACAAGCTAACATTTAGAACAAGCATTCATGATTTAAATTTAAGGTATATGAGCTCGTTATCCAGAACAAGATATCCCACACCGAAGTTTCAGAATTCTGACTCATATAATGCTGCTAAATATTATACCAACATAAATTCAAGTTTCTATGAAAACAAAATATTTTAAACACCCAATAACACAGAAATTTTGGTAGCACTTAATCTTGATATATTTTATGCACACAGTAAGACAAGAGTTTAAGAAGCATTTGTTACTTTATCAATTATACAGTAACAGACATTATTATAGTTTATAGTATATACTTAATATTGACTTTTATATTTTCCAGATATTGGTTGAGTAGACTGGCCAATGACCATTTGCATCACACTTTTTAAAGTTATGTTGTGATGGTAATGATGCAATAAAGACATATACAGGGTGCTTCAGAACTATGGGATCAAACTTGTAGGGGTTATTCAGTGTAACAGTATTAAACATTTGAGTATAGGGACCCATATCTGGAAAAGTGTCACTACAGCACTATGGCCCCAAGTCAACAATGATTCAAAATGTCTTCCTCCAACCTGAATACACCATTCCTGTGGGGATATGTAAAGTCTTTGGTTTACAAAACTCCAGTAGAAACAGAGCAAGACTTAATTGGACGAATTACAGCAGCATTTGAAGTCATTGAAAACGAGTCAAGTCCACCGAAATCATGTGCGACGTTTAAATCAGTGTATTCAGGTTGGAGGAAGACATTTTGAACAATTGTTGTGATGATATCATCTACAAAAGGCAAAAATTAAATGCATTAAATCCTATTTAGGCAATTCATCATCCTTCTAAATTTTAACGCGTCTTAGGGCCGTAGTGCCATAGTGACACTTTTCCGGATATGGGTCCCTATACTCAAATGTTTTCTACTGTTACAATAAATAATGTGTTTGAAATCTTGAAAAATCTAAAAATTATATGGTATTCAGGGGTTTTTATTCAAATAAACAAGTATCCACTTTGGGTACAACCAACAGTACCACTATTTTGAAAATATTGAAAATATAGCCCAATTGCTCCCATCAGTTATGCTATAACAATTTTTTGTAACTTATCCATACAAAATAAATGATTCTGTAGTGGGAAAGTGTGAAACTTTCAATGATTTGGGCATGTATTTCGATTGTCAGCTAACCTTTTAACTACATCAGTGAAATTATAAGTAGTGTGTATTGCACATATGGCTTTATTATCAGAAATTGTAGAAATTTCAATCTTACAATGCTTACTAACTTATTTTCAGTCCTTGTTATAAGTAAATTAGGACATGTTGCAATTATTTGGAACCCTATCTATGAACTCTACAAAAATAATATTGAAAAAGTGCAAAAAAATTTCTGAAATATCTATGCTATTGGAGTGATGGTGTCTAACCTCCAAGAGGATAGGACTACTAATTATTATTAAACAGATCTGTTGTCCCTTCTTTGGTGAAGCCTATAGAGCAGCCCTTGATCAAAGTTTTATACAAATTACTACATCTCAACATCAACTGTCCTGTTTTTTTGCAAATCGATTTCCTGGTATGGAGATTGACATCCAAATATAAAGTTTCTTTTTTCTGCAAGAGGGCACAGACAACTTTTCTGTCTAAAGCACCAATAAACAAAATGCGAATAGGAGAGGGAGTTTTATCTTATGTTGTAGATTTCGGGAAGTAAGAAGTGCTGTAGGTCACATCTTTGACTTTTTCCCCTTTCTCTTTCATTTGATATATATTTGTGTGAACATTACATGATATAGCTATATTTTGTTTCTTACTATTATTAATTAATCATATTCATTTTCTTTCTACTTCAAGGTCCTTTCTCTTTCTTCACTATATACATGATTGATTAAACTCATTATAATGTGTCTGTTTCAGGTGGTGGAAGAGGCGGTGGGGGTAGCGATCGCGGAGG